TAGTACATAACGATAATACATAACTAATAGTTACCTTCAAGGTAATATGACATGCAGCTCATCAGTTTCCTCCTCTTTAATCAAGCACACACACACACACACCTGTGACTCAAATCATTAGTACTGTAACCTTTGTGTCAACCCAGTAAATGTGTGTATTTTTTTAACCTCAATACAGATGTGTATGTCTGGGTATCTCCTGTAGAAAATGGCCCTCATGTTGAATTCTAGGTTTCCATTCTTCTTGAACCCACCTGTTCTTAGGGTGTTGTCCTCATATCAGATCACAGCGTACAAACCTATTGCTACACAACACAGATACAGACAATACAATTAGTCTTGATTTCGATGGAAAGATGGAAATCAAGGTTTGTACTGAATGACATTAGATGTGATCAGTCGATGCAGGTACAACCTCCATTCTGTAAGGTAGTAATGGATGTTAATGGAAATGTAATAATGTCCCAGTGATGTGTATACCCGTCTGTTTAAGCTGGCTGAGTCCAGAGGACGGTGGTCACTAGATTGGGCTGGGGAAAACATTGTAATTTATCATGCAGAGACATGTTGTAAGTTTGTGTGTGACCTGACAAAAGCTAAAGATGGGTTCCCCTTGAAGTCTGATAGGAATATGTCCTGTCCAGCTGGTCTGGAATCAGCTCAGGTATCTGCCACTATAAAGATATAACACAGACATACAACTGATAACTTAGCTATATACCTCAAAACAATGTGTCATGACATCATGTGTTGCCATGCATAAGTTACAGTGTTGTGATAATCAGATTCCATGTGAGGCTGTTATTCACCAGATGCATTCTTTCTCCCTCTCATACTAGCTAGCTACTCCTCCCTCTCACACACACACGGCTTCAACGTAACAAGCTTAGGAAACATCATTCAATGGGTTAACATTAGCCCTTTTGTTTGGTATATATGGAAGTGGCACGTCTGGTCAGCATCTAAAACAGCTAGCTAGCCAGCCAAGTTAACTCATCTCAACTCCGTGATTTATGATAGACTTGAGTTTAGCTTGGCTAGCTAGCTAACGTTAGTGAGAGAGAGCTATATAGCTACTGTTGCCACAATCAAGCCAAACTGAATGTAATCTATCTAGCTAGTTTAACTAGCTGCTGTTAGCATATGGCTAGCTTGCTACAGTTAGCTCGTTAGCTAGCTATCTAGCAATACCAACGAATTACAATGCTGAACCAACCAACCAAAACAATTAAGCAATTTTAGCAGCACGCGATCACATCAGACCTCTAACTTCCATTCCAGCTAGTCATTCCACATTACATAACCTTCCACTCAACATTCCATAGCAGTCTGAGCTGTAGCTGCACATTGTGCCCCCTACCGTTTCCCTCCCTCCCTCCACAACAGTCTTCTACTTCTATGATATAATGGCGGTCCGCAAACCAACGTTAAAAGGTGCATGCCGCCCCCTACTGTGCTGGATTGTGTGGTCAATCACGGTTTACAACATTTCTAAATCCTCCTACCTTACTCAGTACTTCTGGGAAAATAAAAAAAGAGCCCTACTAACTTCTAATAGACCCTCACCCATCCCCCAAATCCCTTCCAACTAAATATTTGTACTTAGAAACCCTCCCCATAGGCTGTCCATACAGAAACAACTGTATATTATCAGCAACTTTCTTTTTCAAGAAGAACATAAAACAAGACTTCGCCACTGTCAATTTAAAACGCCTATCAATCGACCATCTTTCAACATCCACTATAGCTTGTTGAATAGATTTGATCACGAGACATTCCTTCCCCTCTTCCAAATAGCTCCATCATCAGCATATAGGGAAGCCCCAATATCCCTACCTACATTCGAAAACACATCGTTAATCATAATGTTGAACAAAATAGGACTGATAGCACTGCCTTGAGGAATAACATTGTTAACTCCATAGGCATCAGATAAAATGGAATCTATTTTAACTCGAAAAGAGCGATTAAATAAAGCCAAAACCCAGTTATATAATCTCCCACCAATACCAAGTCTTTCCATCTTAAATCAGTAGGCCTTCTCTCCACATAGTGTCATAAGCCTTTTCAATGTCAAAAAAGACAGTAGCCATTACTTCTTTGATGACCAAAGTTTTTTCAACTTGTCTTCCCCAACAAGTCAGCTTTTTCTTTATCAGTTACAGCAATTTTTTGACCCACAACCAAAACTGGAATTCGAGTGGACTTGCTTCTTCCAGTCATCTTCTTCAACATAGACCATACATCCCCCAGCTCAGTACCCCTGCCTTTTGTAGAGCAGAACTGTCTCCATGCAGAAGTCATATTCCTACACAACACTCTGTAAGCCCTATTTCTTTCTCGATTAGCCGCAGTGCACTCTTCACCAAGGAACCACCTTCCTTTTCTTAACCAGTTTACTCACTGGTACATATACATTCGTAGCACTCAAAATGAGAGAGTTCACAGAGGCAGCACATACATCAACCAGCCTCTCTAAAGACAACTGTCCAACAGACTTTAAGCAATGATCACCAAACTTTTCCCAGTCTGCTTTATGAAAGCACCATCTTCTGAATGGTAGCCTATCTGGAATAGTAACATCAAAGTTCATGGTACACGAAATCGGGAAATGATCACTTCCAACTGTAGAATCATTCATTACATTACATTCACACATAGATGCAATAGAGTTAGAAGCCATTGTGAGGTCCAGGCAGGATGTAACCCCTCTAACAACATCCACTCTTGTACCACATCCATCGTTAAGACATACTAATGCTCATTTCCATCATATCTTCCACAATAGTACCATTAGCATCTGTATGTGTGCTTCCCCATAAACCATTATGTGCATTAAAGTCGCCGCACCATATTGCTCTAGAGTCCAATTCTCCTGATATTTCATCAAACATCACTACAGATAGTTGACGACAAGGGTTGTAAAAATTGTGTAACTTAATATTACTACCTGCACAGTAGATTTCCACCATCACACATTCATATTCAGCTGGGACAGTTTTATTACGATATACAAGACCTTCTCTCATGAATGTAGCACAACCACCACCCTGTCCAAATGATCTATCAGATCTAATTGAACAATAACCAGGAATAATAAAATCAAGATGTGGTCTAAGCCATGTTTCTTGAACACGTATCACATCAGGTTTGATCTCTAAATCTATTACATATTTATTTAACTCCTGACCGTTAGCAATAAGGCTTCTGGCATTCCACTGAAGGATAACAAAAACCATAACTAATTATCATCATACTGAGACATTCCATCATTAGTATTATTAGGAGTCAACATATTAACAATTATGGCGACAGAAACATATGTTACTCCTAAAAACTCTGTTGCTGCTTTCACAATGATCTTCAACTTGGCAGTTCTTCTTTTCACAAACGCAGTCAGTTTGATAACCTTGCCAATGAAGGCTATAAAGTAAATCTGATTAACTATTAAGGTGTCCTTTGAAACGACACATTTGTGAGAGCAAGATTTCTGAGCAGGTCTCGTATCCGTGTCTGGACCAACATAAGTAACATTTCCTACAGTAGGTCCACTTATTCCAGGAGTAACCCTATTATCGCCATCATTCTGCCTAATAGTTCCACCAATCTGCCTTGCAGCCTTTGCATAAGAGACATTATGAGTGATTTTATATCTTTGGGCCTCTCTAGCCTCTTTCTACACCTGGCATCCACCAAATGCTGCAATGTGTCCGTCCGTCGATTTTCTTCCCATTTAGTTTTGATTTTCAGAATCTTCCCTTCCTGAACATGGTCAGCACAGAATATTAACACTCTACCATCACCAATGAACAGGGCTAATGTGACTTCCCCCAAATCTTTCTTAACGGCATTGGTTAATCGAATAGGGAGTAGATGAGACCCCGCTTTCGAATCAAAGACGATTACAACTTTCCACTCCGACACATCATTACCTTTGTTTTACACTACCTTCACCTCTTCACGTTCTCAACACTATAACTGCCACTGCTGTCAGCAGCGCTTATAGCAGGGCCATTCTTTTTTATTTTACTTTTTCCCACAGACCATCCAGGTCCATGACTTTCATCATCCCCAACCATACCATCAGAACTATCATCCATGTCGACCACAGTCCAGCACAGCTGTTGCTAAAACCGTCTACCACAACATAGAACTATGGATTCTATTTCGCTTCCTTGTTTGAAGTCGAACCTCGGCGTCCACATTTACGCAACAACAATCTTCTAAAGAAATTTGAACTGAAGTTTGCATTTACAATCATCATCCACTCGCCTCACCTTAGCAGTCGTCACTTCCGGTTCTCGTTGCTTGAGCAGTTCGAGTCTTCCAATAATCACTCTATTGCGACATTGAGTTATCAGTTGTTAGTTTAATATTACATTTTACAATCGAGGTATAGACCCGTATTACGCCTCATATGAATCTTCACTGCAGTAAAAATAAATAGTGGGGAGAGCACGTCAATCTGGTCCACGCTGATTTTTTTCAGTGCGCAAAAAATAACTATATTTTTTTGCAGGCCATCTAATAATTTGGCCAGGTAAAAATGTATTTGAACGCGGATTTCACGATCTGACATAATGACAGCCTACATTTTGGTCTTTACATTGGATATTTTTAAGCATTTTGAACGAAGAACCGTTTGGGAACCAAATATACCGTCTCTTTTATGTGAACGGAGCCAAATGAGGTCATCATTTTGAATAACTAATCGAATGTGAATATTAATATTGATCCACATATGGCGTTAAAGGGGCGTGGTTATGGCGAAGACGAAACTAAAACTATCCTGCGATGTCAGAATACACCAATAGTTGACGTGCGGGCGGAGTTGGAATCGACGCATCTCAACCTTCCGGGCGGAAAGCGGGAGCGAACGACGGAGCCGAGAGTCATCAGGGTTAAAATATTCTGCCTTGGGGGTGGGGGGGTGGGGGAGGACATACTACTGACAAACCGGCGACGAGATTGGGCCTGCGGTGCCTGCAACCCAGGAAAACATGGAGCTCGAGAATATCGTGGCCAACACCGTCCTGTTGAAAGCAAGAGAAGGTAAGAGATGTCGGAGCGTAGGGACGGATAACCAGCTTGACAGCTCCTCTCTCTGCACCACCAGAACCAGCTCAGAACCTGGGGATTCCCCCAGGAAGCGCAGGCCACAGAGATAGGAGCTGGATGATTGCTGCACCTCTTTATTATTTGCAAAGCCTCTGAAGCGTTAAGATAACTATATTAACAATATATTATATTTACACAATATTTATCCGAGCTTAACCTTGGACATTGGTAGGCTACAGAAAAAAATGCGACTGTCAATCAGACTGCGAGACATTAGATTTTCTGTCTTTCTACACTACAGGATCATTCTGTCATTGTCGAAACAGGATGTTGAAAATAATCCCGTATTCAATTTGCAATGAAGAGCTAGCTACACACATACAAAATTAACGCCAGTAGACATTCATTTGTGGACCTATTGTTGGCAATGACAGCGTATGTCAGTGTGCTCCATGTTAGCGGATTGTAGTTGTGTTGGTAGGGTGTCAACATAAGGCCTATGTCAATTTGTGAAATGACAACATAAAGATGATCACTGAGTAAGCAGCACTATATACTCTAGCTGTTGCAGATACTGTAACAAGCCGGATATCATTTTTTCTAATTACTGTAGACCTATAATATATCCATCTGAAACACAAATGGCAACACTATATAATTTTATGCCCCAGTCGCAGATTATCTGATAGTGGTCCTACTATCAGATACATTGGAAGCACTGACAGTAATGAACTAACTACAGTAAAAGAAGTCGGCTATCATGTGGGACAAAAGTAAGACATTTGATCTATCTATTTGTTATACCTCCTTCATACTAAATCAATTAGTGCAAACACAATAAACAAAGGTCTTGTTTTAAAACTCAGGAATGTTTTTCCTCCAAACAGAATCATTCCATTCACAGGGTGGTTGATCCTAGTCTGATGAACCCCACTCTGGTCATATTGGTCACATTGCATATTTTGGATATATACAGTAAAAATAGAATAGCATAGAATAACTTGTATTTTTCCCAGAGGGAACATCGGTATCATCATCAAATAACATCATACTGATCTGTAAATGTATATATTTCCAATCAACCAATCAGATTTTCATTTGTGAAATGCTTTACAATGGAAAACGAACAAAAACAATTGTACTGTATGTCGGAGGTAGCCGACAGAAAAACACAGTGTTCAAAGTGTTATTGTAATCTCTGGTAGGATCAATACTGTACTCTCTATCTAGTATCAATGTACTGTCTCTGTTTGTTTGATAGAGGAGAAGTATTGAATCTGCCATAGACATTACACAGACTTCTGTTTTCACGTCGCCTCTCTCTGGTCACGTTGTTTGCCATTGAAATCCACATTAAATACCACTGTGAAGTGTTATTATATTTGAATGTAGGACATTGTCAACCCTAAGTTCTACTTGAAATCTCTTTAGAGTGCCAGTCTTATTACATTTATCAGGGACTTAAGAGGGTGTGTTTTGCAGGAGAATGTGAAAAGATGAATCAATGAATTGTAAATGATCAAATTATATCTCTGAGAGACCAAACCCTACTCGGTAGCCAGGTGAAGTGGTATGATCAAATCCACATAATAACTACTTATTACTGCAAATCAGTATTATTGTATCTGCTTCACCCCAATATGGTGTTCTAGTAGAAGCACCTCTACTTTGTTTTCCCCTCTTGTTGTTGATGGTGGTGGTAATAACACTGTTATTCTGTTATTATCAAATAGTAATAATACATTAATACTTTCTGTCACAAACACCAGTTTAAGATGGAAAAGAGCGGCAGAGGGAAAGAATAAGAGGCACTGGATCTCTCTCTGATTTGCGCTATTATTTCCATATGGTTTGTCGGTCTTTGCATTTGCACTAATGCAGGATGTGATCTCATTCTTTCAACACCAGTGAGTATATTTCCATCAAACAATACTAAGTTAGTGATAACATACTGTACACTGTCATTTGCAGTATATAAACCCTGGATTGTTGATGCTATTTATTGGCCATTTGAGAGGCTTTTAAGCCACCGGTCGGTCATATTGGCACTCCCAAGTAGAAGCAGTCCTCCATAGGAATGAAGGGAATTCTACAGTATTTCAATTCAATGTTTCAAGGACAAAATTACATGTGTTTAAGTATTTTCTTGTTGTATTAGGGACAGTAACATTAGTAATCTCAAAAAAATTATACTTTAAGGAAAATGTTTTTATGTTTTATTTGTATGTTTAGCTCACATAATATAATTTCAAAGTATTCTTTAAGAGGCTCCTCTGTCCTCCACTCGTTATCAGTATAAAAGACACCTGTCCACAACCTCAAACAGTCACACTCCAAACTCCACTATGGCCAAGACCAAAGAGCTGTCAAAGGACACCAGAAACAAAATTGTAGACCTGCACCAGGCTGGGAAGACTGAATCTGCAATAGGTAAGCAGCTTGGTTTGAAGAAATCAACTGTGGGAGCAATTATTAGGAAATGGAAGACATACAAGACCACTGATAATCTCCCTCGATCTGGGGCTCCACGCAAGATCTCACCCCGTGGGGTCAAAATGATCACAAGAACGGTGAGCAAAAATCCCAGAACCACACGGGGGGACCTAGTGAATGACCTGCAGAGAGCTGGGACCAAAATAACAAAGCCTACCATCAGTAACACACTACGCCGCCAGGGACTCAAATCCTGCAGTGCGAGTACATGTCCAGGCCCGTCTGAAGTTTGCTAGAGTGCATTTGGATGATCCAGAAGAGGATTGGGAGAATATCATATGGTCAGATGAAACCAAAATATAACTTTTGGGTAAAAACTCAACTCGTCGTGTTTGGAGGACAAAGAATGCTGAGTTGCATCCAAAGAACACCATACCTACTGTGAAGCATGGGGGTGGAAACATCATGCTTTGGGGCTGTTTTTCTGCAAAGGGACCAGGACGACTGATCCGTGTAAAGGAAAGAATGAATGGGGCCATGTATCGTGAGATTTTGAGTGAAAACCTCCTTCCATCAGCAAGGGCATTGAAGATGAAACGTGGCTGGGTCTTTCAGCATGACAATGATCCCAAACACACCGCCTGGGCAACGAAGGAGTGGCTTCGAAGAAGCATTTCAAGGTCCTGGAGTGGCCTAGCCAGTCTCCAGATCTCAACCCCATAGAAAATCTTTGGAGGGAGTTGAAAGTCCGTGTTGCCCAGCGACAGCCCCAAAACATCACTGCTCTAGAGGAGATCTGCATGGAGGAATGGGCCAAAATACCAGCAACAGTGTGTGAAAACCTTGTGAAGACTTACAGAAAACGTTTGACTTGTGTCATTGCCAACAAAGGGTATATAACAAAGTATTGAGAAACTTTTGTTATTGACCAAATACTTATTTTCCACCATAATTTGCAAATAAATTCATTAAAAATCCTACAATGTGATTTTCTGGATTTTTTTCCCTCATTTTGTCTGTCATAGTTGACGTGTACCTATGATGAAAATTACAGGCCTCTCTCATCTTTTTAAGTGGGAGAACTTGCACAATTGGTGGCTGACTAAATATTTTTTCCCCCACTGTATATATATATATATATATATATATATATATATATATATATATATATATATATATATATATATATATATATATAAAAAATCATTGGTCATTTGTCAGACTTGTACATCTCTTTGCCAGGCATAAACAATACGCTCAGCGTCTCATTTGCATCTTGTCCACTTCCCATTGTGATAAAACATTGTTAGTCAGACATACTGTCAATATGTTCACTTCCAACCACTATTTGAATAGCAAATGTTACTGGGCATGGCATCCAGTTCCTTCTCATGCCACTTATAGAGTTGGTTTCACCACCCAACCAAGATGGGCAACTTTACAGCGTAGGTAGCAGGCCTAGGCCTATTCTGCTTGCCAATTTGTTTGTTGTCGTACTGTAACTATACTGAACAAAAATATGAACGCAACATGTAAAGTGTTGGTCCCATGTTTCATGAGCTGAAATAAAATATCCCAGAAATGTTCCATACGCACAAAAAGCTTATTTCGATCAGATTTTGTGCAAAAATGTGTTTACATCCCTGTTAGTGGGAATTTCTCCTTTACCAAGATAATCCATCCACCTGACAGGTGTGGCATATGAAGATGCTGATTAAACAGCATGATCATTACACAGGTGGACCTTGTGCAGAGGACAATAAAAGGCCACTTTAAAATGTGCAGTTTTGTCACACAACACAATGCCACAGATCTCTCAAGTTTTGAGAGAGCGTGCAGTTAGCATGCTGACTGCAGGAATGTCCACCAGCGCTGTTGCCAGAGAATTTAATGTTCATTTCGCTACCATAAGCCTCCTCCAATGTTATTTTAGAGAATTTGGCAGTACGTCCAACTACCCTCACAACCACAGACCACGTGTAACCATGCCAGTTCATCTGCGTGCTCGTCTTCCTCACCAGGTTCTTGACTTGATTGCAGTTCGGAGTCATAACCGACTTCAGTGGGCCAATGCTCACCTTCGATGGCCACTAGCACGCTGGAGAATTGTGCTCTTCACGGACGAATCCTGGTTTCAACTGTACTGGGCAGATGGCAGACAGCGTGTATGGTGTCGTGTGGGCGAGTAGTTTGCTGATGTCCACGTTGTGAACAGAGTGCCCCATGGTGGCGGTGGGGTTATGGTATGGGCAGGCATAAACTATGGACAACGAACACAATTGCATTTTATTGATGGCAATTTGAATGCACAGAAATACCATGATGAGATCCTGAGGCCCATTGTCGTGCCATTCATCCGCCACCATCACCTCATGTTTCAGCATAATAATGCATGGCCCCATGTCGCAAGGATCTGTACACAATTCCTGGAAGCAGAACATTTCCCAGTTCTTCCATGGCCTGCATACTCACCAGTCACCCATTAAGAATGTTTGGGATGCTCTAGATTGACTTGTACGACAGCGTGTTCCAGTTCCCGTCAATATCCGGCAACTTCGCACAGTCATTGAAGAGGAGTGGGACAACATTTCACAGGCCACAATCATCAGCCTGATCAACTCTATGCGAAGGAGATGTGTCGCAATACATGAGGAAAATAGTGAGCACAGCAGATACTGACTGGTTTTCTGATCCACGCCCCCTACCTTATCTTTTTCTGTGACCAACAGATGCATATCTGTATTCCCAGTCGTGTGAAATCCATAGATTAGGGCCTTAGGAATTTATTTCAATAGACTGATTTCCTTAAATGAACTGTAACTCAGTAAAATCTTTGAAATTGTTGCATGTTGCGTTTATATTTTTGTTCAGTGTAGCTAGTGCTACCATTGACCAGTTTCAGATTGGCATGAGCAAAGATGGTTGCATGGTTGCTGTCTGGAGCAGGGGTCCATTATTGCACTTGTAAAAGTTCACTCAGGATAATGATCAGCTGGGCAAAGTTGTGTTTTAAATCTGAGTTCTGTAGATTTGTTGAAGGTCCACTGCCATTAGCATAGGGCAACAAGTAACTCTTAGCTTTTTAACTGGCACTTACTTGAAACTGAAGATAAGGAACTTACTTAATTTTTTATCTTTTGATGTTATTCGTCTGCGGGACAGATGTTAACTCTTCAAGTTCCTCATTGCTTCCCTGAAACCATGCATGGTTGGAACCAATTGAGGGAACATAACCGATTTAATGGACATTTTTGAGGAACGGTAACAGAACCGGGAATGAAAGTGATCTTTAGTGTTCCGGAACAGAACCGTTACTTTCAAATCTTGAGAACCGGTTAATAATGTTGTTGTTTTTTTCAAAAATATTCCTAATTTCTAGTATATCATTCTCTAATTCAGTGAAGTTATGATGCTAGTAATAGCCTAAACACATTCCAATTCACGTCCTGTCATGATGCTCAGCGCTTCAAGCCAAGCCCCCTCCATGTCCACCCTCTCTCTCGCTCTCTCCCCACCCGTGACATTTCAGTCGAATCTCACGCCTGCACTTATCTGTCCATCAGACATGTAAACAACTATAGTAGCTTACACGTTCCATAGCAAGCTGCTCTAACCACGGTAATTGGTGTAGTAAATGATTGAGCTAAATGTTCAAACTATTTTGATTTCACGGGGTAAAACATTTACGAGAAGGAACTATGGCTGCGTTTACACAGGCCCAAATATTGGCAAAAGAGCTGATCTGGTTTAGTTGAAAAATATCAGAATTGGGTTGCCTGTGTAAACGCAGCCTATATGAACTGTTACCTTTTTGGGGTTCGAACCGGTTCAGAACTTTATGCTGGTCGGAACACTGGAACAAATAGGGGTTAAATAAATAGGGGTTCTGCTCGGAATGGAATGATTGGAAAATAATTTAGGTTCCAACCCCTGATGGCTACTGGCTAGGCTACGTATCGCTACACTAACCCTAACCCTCCCTGTTGATTTCCTCTACCACTCTAAAGATAAAAGGCCTCAAACTCCCTGCCTCTCTGTGTACTGTAGGCTCCGGTTCACACACACACACACACACACACACACACACACACACACACACACACACACACACACACACACACACACACACACACAACACCCCTGTGACCTTTACCTGGACGGCCTGATGACAAGCCAGCTTTTCTAATAAGGAGGGAGCAGCAGGGCCTCCCACCTGGATCAGTTGTTCTGCCTGTTCGCTGTGTGTGAATGCTGCAGCATTTGACATGGGTCTCACAGACGTCAGGCCAGCGGGGCATTCTCATGGCATTGACATGATTATTTTCCTGAAGCCACTCCAGGATGCCTGCAGCTCACAGGTCTGGGGGAGGGAAGGAATAGTGGAGCCTCAGGCTGGGCTGGACACCTGGTAGAAAAGAGAAATGGAGAGAAAAAACCCTCTACTAATAACCTTTGGAGTTGAGCAAAGTCGTACTTTCATGTTGTGCTGTTTTCTATAATGTATTGGAAGGTGGCATCTGGGTTTTGTAGTCCATCTGGCTGTATCAGAACCCATGACCTTGGCCAGTCTCTGGGTCAAGTTCTCACTAGTCGCCATTCAAGGTCAATGTCTGGGTCATGAACTTAGACATTCAAAATCTGTAGGCTATTTGTTAGCATTGTGGTTGGGTACTAACCCTTTTTTGGACAAGAATACCAATGTAAGAATGCTGTTCATCGACTCCAGCTCAGCCTTTAACACCATAGTGCCCTCCAAGCTCATCACTAAGCTCGGGGCCCTGGGTATGAACCCTGCCCTGTGAACTGGGTCCTGGACTTCCTGATGGGCCGACCTCAGGTGGTGAAGTTAGGCAACAACACCTCTGCTACGCTGATCCTCAACACGGGGCCCCACAAGGGTGCATGCTCAGCCCCCTCCTGTACTCCCTGTTCACCCAATACTGTGTGGCCACGCACAACTCAATCATGAAGTTTGCAGACGACACAACAATGGTAGGCCTGATTACCAACAATGACGAGACAGCCTACAGCAGTGTTTCCCAAACTCGGTCCTGGGGACCCCAAGGGGTGCATGTTATGTTTTCTTGCCCTAGCACTATACAGTTGATTCAAATAATCAACTCATCGTTAAGCTTTGGTTATTTGAATCAGCTGTGTAGTGCTATGGCAAAAAACAAAACGTGCACCCCTTGGGTGGACTTCAGGAGACAGCAGAGGGAGCACGCCCCCATCCACATCGACGGGACCACAGTAGAGAAGGTGAAAAGCTACAAGTTCCTCGGCGTGCACATCACTAACAACCTGAAATAGTCTAGCCACACAGACAGTGTGGTGAAAAAGCGCAACAGCGCCTCTTCAACCTCAGGAGGCTGAAGAAATTCGGCTTGGCCCCTAAGGCCCTCAAACTTCTACAGATGCACCATTGAGAGCATGCTCAAGGGCTGTATCATCACCTGGTATGGCAACTGCACCGTCCGCAACCACAAGGCTCTCCAAAGGGTGGTGCGGTCAGCCCAACACATCTCCAGGGATACACTGCCTGCCCTCCAGGACATCTACAGCACACGGTGTCACAGGAAGGCCGAAAAGATCATCAAGGACCTCAGCCACCCAACCCACGGCCTGTTCACCCCGCTACCATCTAGAAAGCGGAGACAGTACAGGTGCATCAAAGCTGGGACTGAGAGACTGAAAAACAGCTCCTATCTCCAGGCCATTAGACTGTTAGTCACCACTAGCCGGCCTCCGCCCAGTACCCTGCCCTGAACCTTAGTCACCGTTACTAGCAGGCTACCACCCGGTACTCAACCCTGCACCTTAGAGACTGCTGCCCTATGTACATAGTCATACACTGGTCACTTTAATATGAATAATTAATAATTATTACATACTGTTTTACCCACTTCATATGTATATACTGTATTCTAGTCAAGGCTCATCCTATATAACTGCTGCTGTACACACCTTTTTATATTCATATACTGTCCATAATGTCTATACACACCACCATATACATATATATTTATATTCCGGACTCTGACACTGCTCGTTCTAATATTTATATATTTATTAATTCCCACGATAACATCTGCATAATATGTGTACGTGACCAATAACATTTGATTTGATTTAAAGAGTTAGACTAGAATACAGTAAGTGTGCTTTTTCTATGTCAACAAATGAATAACCTCTCTGTCTTCTTGACACATACTCCAGGACAGCCATTATATGAATCACCCTGACCCTCTTCTTTATCTTGACCAATCTACAACAGCACTTTTGTTCTGAGTGTTTTTAGGGGCTGTATGTACTTTATAGGCTGCTCAAGGCTTAGGCTACTTACTGTATGTATCAGGCAGTATTTTAGTGTTTGCCCATGTGTTATATTTTTCTTTTGTTTGATTTAATCAACCACTGTTCTTTTACAGGAGGTGGTGGCAACAGAAAAGGAAAAAGCAAGAAATGGAAACAGATGCTTCAGTTTCCCCACATCAGCCTGTGTGAGGAGCTCCGGCAAACTACAGGTATGCTTCCTCTCCTCTCCTCTGCTTGCTAGCCCATTGATAGATATACTGAACAAAAATATAAACGCAACACACAGAAAGCGCCACAGGTCCTAATCCAGGCACTTGTCATCTCCCGTCTGGATTACTGCAACTCGCTGTTGGCTGGGCTCCCTGCCTGTGCCATTAAACCCTTACAACTTATCCAGAACGCTGCAGCCCGTCTGGTGTTCAACCTTCCCAAGTTCTCTCATGTCACCCTGCTCCTCCGCACACTCCACTGGCTTCCAGTTGAGGCTCACATCTACTACAAGACCATGGTGCTTGCCTACGGAGCTGTGAGGGGAACGGCACCTCCTTACCTTCAGGCTCTGATCAGACCCTACACCCAAACGAGGGCACTACGTTCATCCACCTCTGGCCTGCTAGCCCCCCTACCTCTACGGAAGCACAGTTCCCGCTCAGCCCAGTCAAAGCTATTCACTGCTCTGGCACCCCAATGGTGGAACAAGCTCCCCCACGACGCCAGGACAGTGGAGTCACTGACCACCTTCCGGAGACACTTGAAACCCTACCTCTGTCCATATTAAAGCGTTGCTCTGCCTTCTTAACAACACTATCAACAAGGCAGGTCCTACAGGCCCTAGTTTTGTCACACCTGGACTACTGTTCAGTCATGTGGTCAGGTGCTACAAAGAGGGACTTAGGAAAATTACAATTGGCTCATTTACAGGGCAGCACGACTGGCCCTTAAATGTACACAGAGAGCCAATATTAATAATATGCATGTCAATCTCTCATGGCTCAAAGTGGAGGAGAGATTGACTTCATCACTACTTGTTTTTGTAAGAAGTGTTGACAAGCTGAATGCACCAAGCTGTCTGTTTAAACTACTAGCACACAGCTCAGACACCCATACATACCCCACAAGACATGCCACCAGAGGTCTCTTCACAATCACCAAGTCCAGAACAGACTATGGGAGGTGCAGAGTACTACATAGAGCCATGACTACATGGAACTCTATTCCACATCAGGTAACTGATGCAAGAATCAGATTTAAAAAAACAGATAAAAACACACCTTATGGAACAGCAGAGACTGTGAAGAGACACACACACAGGTACAGACACATGCTAGCACACGCACTCTACACACATGTACATTGTAATATTGTTGTATGGTGGTATTATACATTTTGTATTATAGATATGTAGTAGTGTAATAATGTTATATGATGTACTGTTTTATATTTTGTTTTATGTGTGATGTAAGTGCCTTAATGTCTTTGGACCCCAGGAAGAGTAGCTAATGGGGTCCCCTAATAAATACAAATACAAAATTGCATGCTCCCTCAACTTGAGACATCTGTGGCATTGTGTTGTGTGACAAAACTGCACATTTTAGTGGCATTTTATTGTCCCCAGCACGAGGTGCACCTCTGTAATGATCATGCTTTTGAATCAGCTTCTTGATATGCCACACCTGTCAGGTGGATGGATTACCTTGGCAAAGGAGAAATGCTCACTAACAGGGATGTAAACAAATTAGTGCACAACATTTTAGAGAAATAAGCTTTTTGTGTGTTTGGAAAATTTCTGGGATCTTTTATTTCAGCTCAGGAAACATGGGACCAACACTTTACATGTTGCGTTTATATTTTTGTTCACTGTAAATTCGTAGTAAAAGTCCAAACACGAGGGAAAAGCTGCACTCCACACTCAAATACAGTGTCTTCAGGAAGTATTCACACCCATTTACTTTTTCCACATTTTGTTGTGTTATAGCCTGAATTTAAAATGGATTACACACAATACCCCATAATGTCAAAGGGGATTTCTTTTTTTACACATTAATTAAAAATGAAAAGCTGACATGTCTTGAGTCAATAAGTCTTCAACCCCTTTGTTATGGTAAGTCTAAATAAATTCAGGAGTAAATATTTGCTTAACAACTCACATAATAAGTTTCATGCATTCACTCTGTGTGCAATAATAGTGTTTAGCATGATTTTTGAATGACTACCTCATCTCTGTACCCCACACATACAATTATCTGAAAGGTCCCTCAGTCGAGCAGTGAATTTCAAACAGAGATTCAACCACAAAGACCACAGAGGTTTTCCAATGCCTCGCAAAGAAGGGCACCTATTGGTAGATGGATACAAATAAAAAAAAGCAGACATTGAATATCCCTTTGAGCATGGTGAAGTTATTAATTACACTTTGGATGGTGTATCAATACACCCAGTCACTACAAAGATACAGGCGTCCTTCCTAACTCCGTTGATAGAGAGGAAGCAAACCGCTCAGCGATTTCAACATGAGGCCAATGGTGACTTTAAAACAGTTACATAGTTTATTGGCTGTGATAGGAGAAAACTGAGGATGGATCAACGTAATTGTAGTTACTCCACAATATTAACCTAATTGACAGAGTGAAAAGAAGGAAGTCTGTACAGAATAAAAATATTCCAAGGGGTCAAGGGGTATGAATACTTTCTGAAGGCACTGTAAGAGGTGGAAAAGTCCCACAAAACTACAGTGGGGAAAAAAGTATTTAGTCAGCCACCAATTGTGCAAGTTCTCCCACTGAAAAATATGAGAGAGGCCTGTAATTTTCATCATAGGTACACGTCAACTATGACAGACAAAATGAGAAAGAAAATTCCAGAAAGTCACATTGTAGGATTTTTAATGAATTTATTTGCAAATTATGGTGGAAAATAAGTATTTGGTCAATAACAAAAGTTTCTCAATACTTTGTTATATACCCTTTGTTGGCAATGACACAGGTCAAACATTTTTCTGTAAGTCTTCACAAGGTTTTCACACACTGTTGCTGGTATTTTGGCCCATTCCTCCATGTAGATCTCCTCTAGAGCAGTGATGTTTTGGGGCTGTCGCTGGGCAACACAGACTTTCAACTCCCTCCAAAGATTTTCTATGGGGTTGAGATCTGTAGACTGACTAGGCCACTCCAGGACCTTGAAATGCTTCTTACGAAGCCACTCCTTCGTTGCCCGGGCGGTGTGTTTGGGATCATTGTCATGCTGAAAGACCCAGCCACGTTTCATCTTCAATGCCCTTGCTGATGGAAGGAGGTTTTCACTCAAAATCTCACGATACATGGCCCCATTCATTATTTCCTTTACACGGATCAGTCGTCCTGGTCCCTTTGCAGAAAAACAGCCCCAAAGCATGATGTTTCCACCCCCATGCTTCACAGTAGGTATGGTGTTCTTTGGATGCAACTCAGCATTCTTTGTCCTCCAAACACGACGAGTTGAGTTTTTACCCAAAAGTTATATTTTGGTTTCATCCGACCATATGACATTCTCCCAATCCTCTTCTGGATCATCCAAATGCACTCTAGCAAACTTCAGACGGGCCTGGACATATACTGGCTTAAGCAGGGGGACACGTCTGGCACTGCAGGATTTGAGTCCCTGGCGGCGTAGTGTGTTACTGATGGTAGGCTTTGTTACTTTGGTCCCAGCTCTCTGCAGGTCATTCACTAGGTCCCCCCGTGTGGTTCTGGGATTTTTGCTCACCGTTCTTGTGATCATTTTGACCCCACGGGGTGAGATCTTGCGTGGAGCCCCAGATCGAGGGAGATTATCAGTGTATGTCTTCCATTTCCTAATAATTGCTCCCACAGTTGATTTCTTCAAACCAAGCTGCTTACCTATTGCAGATTCAGTCTTCCCAGCCTGGTGCAGGTCTACAATTTTGTTTCTGGTGTCCTTTGACAGCTCTTTGGTCTTGGCCATAGTGGAGTTTGGAGTGTGACTGTTTGAGGTTGTGGACAGGTGTCTTTTATACTGATAACAAGTTCAAACAGGTGCCATTAATACAGGTAACGAGTGGAGGACAGAGGAGCCTCTTAAAGAAGAAGTTACAGGTCTGTGAGAGCCAGAAATCTTGCTTGTTTGTAGGTGACCAAATACTTATTTTCCACCATAATTTGCAAATAAATTCATTAAAAATCCTACAATGTGACTTTCTGGAATTTTCTTTCTCATTTTGTCTGTCATAGTTGACGTGTACCTATGATGAAAATTACAGGCCTCTCTCATATTTTTCAGTGGGAGAACTTGCACAATTGGTGGCTGACTAAATACTTTTTTCCCCACTGTATAACTAGAGGCTGAGATTGAAGTTTGTCCACTGTAGGTCTGGGAAGGGGGATACTTAGTCAGTTGCAAAACTGACTGCATTCAACCGAAATGTTTATTCCGCATTTAACCCAACCCCTCTGAAACAGAGAGGTGCGAGGGGCTGCCTTAATCGACGTCATCGGCGCCCAGGGAGCAGTTGTTGTTGGGGGTTATGCCTTGCCCAAGGGCAGAACGGCAGATTTTTACAGCTTGCCAGCACGGGGATTCGGTTACTGACCCTTAACCGCTAGGCTACCTGCCGCCCAGACACTGTGGTCTGACAGAAGTCAAGGTGGGGTAGGTGATGACGGACTGTGTTATGTTATGAAGTAGTCTGATGGCAGTTGGCCATACAGTGCTTTCAATGGTGGAGGAAATCCCCACCCCATCCCCTCAAGACAAGAAGTATACTGTATGTATAATTTAGTACAGTTGGAATGCAGGCCTGTATAATATGCGTCAATTATCCTATTATCTAATCAGGAGTCATTATTCAATCATCCCATTATTTCCTTAGGAAGTACATTAGTTATTGGCTATTTTGTGCACAAAGAAACATACAGTATATTTGCATTGTGTTTATGGCGATTGACAATCTTATATATGTGGCTGGTACTGCTGGTGGTGGTTAGGAGTTGTTGAACATGGAGTCACACCAATGCGGATCAGCTAACTGCACAGTATTTTGTAATCATGGGGCTTGCATTGTATCCTGTGAAACACGTGAATGATGAAGATAGGCTGCTGTGGTAACTTTAGTTTTTCTGTTTTCCGATATTTTAGAGGCATTGTCGGCAGCTTTTCTACTGCGGCACAGAGAGGGTTTATAAATCCCTCTCATCCATTGCTCTCTCAGATGGATGATTGTGAAGTGAATCCTGTTTAAGCTGTAAATGCTGAGTGCATTTTATCATTGGCTTCAGCCATGAACCAGAGGCAGACATAATGTAACTGTGCTTCTATTTTACCACAGAGGAAGCTGTGGCCTGGGCAGAAAGAGGAAGCTGACTCGCATGTTTGTTTGAATTCACTCTTTTCACTCATTTTGCCGTTCAAAAAGAAAATGGTGACAAATGTTTATAGGTCACTGGTTTGGAACACAAAGTAGACACAGTTTTGCTGTGAGATCTCACTAATGATAATTGACATTTCTTACTATGTAGACGGTAGAAAATATATATTTGTTGCATATTTGAGTGTTTGTTCTGCAGCAGGTCTAAGAGATTGCATTAGTTTCATACAAAACACAATCTAAAGGAAAGTAACACAATTAAATATAAGTGGAAGCTCAAAGCCCAAACTTTAGGATGAGATGGCTGTTTTCAAGGCTGTCGTTACAGTATTTAGCCTACATCCAGTTTGGGGCATTGTTACAACACCACGTTGACACCATTGTGATTGTGGCTCCTCTTCCTAGTTCTTATCCATTTTGTTCATAAGAGTAGAACGATTGTATGGATTTGAGCCCAATTTCTGAGAATAGGCTACTTTCCTCCATTGGTCAGGGTGAAACAGTAGGTTGGGAGGTGGTGGTGAACAAAGAAAGAAAATAAACGATTAAGGTTAAAGGACATCATATGATTTCCCCATTATCGTGATTTATCTCCATAAGGCAGGAGATTAGGTTGAGATGCATATCATTGGGCTGAGGCTCCTGGCCAAGGGCCTTTTGGGTTATGACTCCAGCTCCTATGGTGGCCTTCCATACATACAATAGACACATTGATTGTTCCCAAGTCTTTAAAAATATATTTTTTCACCCTGAGGCTTTGAACAAATGTATTTTTAATATTTGTATTTTTTGCAGTGCTTTCTGTCCTGAAGCTACAACCGCTAGATCTACAAGGCCAGGCTGGCTTCTAGGCCTATATCTCAGCCTTGGCAGACAGTGTTGCTGTGCTGAATTGTGGGAATGGTGGTGGTAGAAAACATGCGGGTGAAGTAGTCTTGAGTCTGTAGTGGTGTATTGTTCACTTATGTTGCACTAATGTTAATTAGCAATTGCGCTAACGCTAGTTAGCAACTTCCTTCAAACTGCACGCAGAGACATATAAAAGTTCATCTGACTCTGGGAAAGTAGATTCATTGCCAAAATCTCAAAGTATCCCTTTTAATGTAGAGATCACCCACATGAAAAAATACTATGGTATACTATGGTTAAATATTTACTGTAGTATTCACTGTAGTGTTTTTGCAAGCTAAAGTCTACAAAAACACTACAGTGAATACTGTAGTATTTACTGTTGCTTTGCGGACATACAGTGCCCTCAGAAAGTATTCATACCCCTTGACTTATTCCACATTTTGTTGTTACAGCCTGAATTCAAGATGGATTCAATATTTTTTTTTCTCACCCATCTACACAAAATACCCCTTAATGACAGTGAAAATGTGTTTTTAGAATTTGTTGCAAATGTATTGAAAATTAAATACAGAAATATTTCATTTACATAAGTATTCACACCCCTGAATCAATACATGTTAGAATCACCTTTGGCAGCGTTTATAATTGTGTGTCTTTCAGGGTAAGTCTATAAGAGCTTTGCACACCTGGATTTTACAATATTTGCCCATTCAAGCTTTATCATATTGGTTGTTGATCATTGCTAGCCAACCATTTTCAAGTTTTGCCATAGATTTTCAAGCAGATTTAAGTCAAAACTGTAACTCGGCAACTTGGGAACATTAACTGTCTTCTTGGTAAGCAACTCAACTGGTAAGCAGATTTGGCCTTGTTTTAGGTTATTGTACTGCTGAAAGGTGAATTAATCTCCCAGTGTGTCACGTTCGTTCAAGGACGGGTCAGACCAGGGTGCAGCGTGATATGCGTACATGTTTATTCAACTTAATAAACACACGACAAAACAATAAACGAAACGAAACGTGAAGTCTTAAGGTAGACACACAACAAACCTTAACCGGAACAAGATCCCACAACTCAATAGTGCCAATAGGCTGCCTAAGTATGGACCCCAATCAGAGACAACGAACGACAGCTGCCTCTGATTGGGAACCACACCGGCCAACATAGAACTATACATACTAGATCCCACATAGAAAATACTACATAACAAAGAAGATACACACCCTGACTCAACATATACGAGTCCCCTGAGTCAGGGCGTGACAGTGCCCCCCCCCCCCCCCCCCAAAGGTGCGGACTCCGACCGCACAACCTTCACATACCAGGGTAGGGGCCGGGTGGGCATTCCGCCTCGGAGGCGGATCCGGCTCCGGGCGTGACGACCACACCCTCTCCGCCTCCCTGTTGCGCCCCTGGTCTGGTCTGGATCTCGGCGCGCTGCTTCCCCTCCTTCCTCCCACGATACTCCAGGCCCTGTCTGGACCCTGGTGTGGGAGACCCCGAACCTGGAGAGGGGCTGACGTCATGGTCTGGACTGGAGCTGCTGACCGGAGCTGGACCAGACGCCGGTGGAGCGGACTGCTCAGGCTCCGGACTGGAGCCGCTGACCGGAGCTGGACTAGGCACCGGTGGAGCGGACTGCTCTTGCTCCGGAGTGGAGCAGCTGACCGGAGCTGGATCAGGCACCGGTGGAGCGGACTGCTCTGGCTCCGGAGTGGAGCAGCTGACCGGTGCCGGACCAGGCACCGGTGGAACGGGCACGGGCCGTGCCGGACTGGACACACGCACCACTGGTCTGGGGCGAGGAGCAGGCACGGGCCGGACCGGACTTGGTGCGAGGAGCAGGAACGGGCCGGGCCGGACTGGCGACACGCACCACTGGCTTGGTGCGAGGAGCAGGAACAGGCCGGGCCGGACTGTGGAGGCGGACTGGAGGTCTGGAGCGGAGAGCTGACACAACCCGTCCTGGCTGAATGCCTACTTCCGCACAGTATATGTGAGGCATCAGCACAGGACGCACTGGGCTGTGTACGCGCACTGGCGATACAGTTCGTAGAACTGGCGCAGGATATGCAGGACTGAGGAGGCGTACTGGAGACCAGGAGCGTTGAGCCGGCACACCCCTTCCTGGCTGGATGCCCATCTTCGCACGGCACGTGCGTGGTGCAAGCACAGGACGTACAGGACTGTGCCGGCGCACTGGCGACACAGTACTTAGCTCCGCATAACACGGAGCCTGCCCAGTCATACGCTTCCTCGCGTGAGTACGGGGAGTTGGCTCTGCTCTGACACTAGGCTCCGCCAACCACCCCGTGTGCCCCCCCAATTTTTTTTGGGGGGGCTGCTTCTCAGGCTTCCTCCTCGACCGGCCTCCTCCGTGTTGCCGTTGCTCCTCTCCTGCCTGGGCATCTACCTTAGCCCATGGTCCTCTCCCCGCAAATATCTCTTCCCATGACCACAAATTGCCCACCAGTGACATGGCTATTCGCTCCGCCTGGGCACGCTGCTTGGTCCTCGTTTGGTGGGATCTTCTGTCACGTTCGTTCAGGACAAAATGTTAATTGTTTTGCCACATTTTTTTGCAGTATTACTTTAGTGCCTTGTTGCAAACAGGATGCATGTTTTGGAATATTTTTATTCTGTACAGGCTTCCTTCATTTCACTCTGTCAACTAGGTTAGTATTGTGGAGTAACTACAATGTTGTTGATCCATCCTAAATGTTCTCCTATCACAGCTATTAAACTCTGTAACTGTCTTTAAGTCACCATTGGTCTCATGATGAAATCCCTGAGGGGTTTCCTTCCTATCCGGCAACTGAGTTAGGAAGGACGCCTGTATCTTTTTAGTGACTGGGTGTATTGATACACCATCCAAAATGTAATCAATAATTTCACCATGCTCAAAGGGATATTCACTGTCTGCTTTTTTTTTGTTTACCGATCTACCAATAGGGGCCCTTCTATGCGAGGCATTGCAAAACCTCCCTGGTCTTTGTGGTTGAATCTGTGTTTGAATTTCACTGCTCGACTGAGGGACCTTACAGATAATTGTATGTGTGGGGTACAGAGATGAGGTAGTCATTCAAACATCATGTTAAACACTATTATTGCACACGGAGTGAGTCCATGCAACTTATTATGTGACTTGTTAAGCACATTTTTACTCCTGAATTTATTTAGGCTTGCCATAACAAAGGGGTTGAATACTTATTGACTCAAGACATTTCAGTTTTTCATTTTGAATAATGTGTAAAAAAAAATCAACATAATTCCACTTTGACATTATGGTGTGTAGGCCAGTGACACAAAATCTCAATTTCATATATATTTAGAATTCAGGCTATAACATGTCAAAATGTAGAAAAAGTCAAGGGGTGTGAATACTTTCTGAAGGCACTGTACACACAGTACAGCATAGGGCATCATTACAGGCCTGAGTGGATGACATGTGGATATCTCTCATTGTTCACTGGTGTTTACCCTCACCAGATGCTGTCTGATACACAGTGACAGAGAGAGAGCCACCTCCACCTGAGATTGTGCGGGATAAACACAGACAGGCGGCCGAGCACCAACTCAAACAAATCTTGTCTAGAAAGAGAAAGAGAGAGAGAGAGGGGCACAGGAAACCCTCAACTTCCGTGTTTACCGGCGAGGCGAGGCCTGACAGAGAAAGATAGTCTGATGCCCTCTGGAGAAAACCCATGCACACCCCCAGTTTATTTTTGTGTCCTTCCACTCTCCCAGGAAACTAACGCGAAAGGCACTGACTGAAATGACGTTTCTCATTTCCGAAATGACTCAGCCATTTAGAAAGGCCCAGCCCGCCCCTCTTCCTCTCCCCACTGCACGGCCTGTAGTGGCCATCCAATCGTCCAGCAGTCAATAAAGCTTTGTGCACTCTCTGTAACTGTTAATGAGCGCTGGCTTCAGGTTTACCATACTGCCGCCTGCGCTCTCTGCCTCCCTCCTCTCTCCATACATTTGACTCTGTTATCAGAGAATTGCCCCCATTGATAGTCAGAGCAGCAAGCAGAGAGAGGAGATGGAACAAGGCAGAGTGCAGTATCAGGCTATCAGCCCCAATGCAATATGCCGCAGAATCCAAATAGCTTACTGTTTTAATGGCTGTGATCTTGTGGGATGAATTTCACAATTGAAACATCACTACACAGTTTTTAAGAGCCCATCGTTGATGTAAACATGAAGCCGGTGGAATCAAGTTTATACTCTTTGAATTGATTAAATTACACCAAATGCAGTGATGAATTTCAATTCTCCTCTCAATCTTCTGACTCACATTTTAGTTGAGTCAGGTGGTCTTGTAGCAGGGCCAAAAACCATCTATCCATTGAAAGCAACAATAGATGTGAAAAAGGCCAGGGCTCAGAGGGGGATCTACATGATCTCTTCCAACTATCTTACTGTCAATAGAGCCTCTGTCAGGGGCTGAATTAAATTGCATTGTGGCTAATTCGATTATCTCTATGAAACGGCCATTAGGGGTTCAAATCTTGTTTTGTCCTCCTCATCGTTCCATTGTAGAACCCAATCAGAGACCACTAGCATAGGCCACTGACAGAGCACATAGGGCCCTATAGATACACAACAGAACCACAACAACCGACAGCTCATGAGCATGTATCAAAATGATTTAGTGGAAAGACATGGGTAGTTCTACTGTTGTTGTCACGATCGTCTAACAGAGATGAGGACCAAGGCGCAGCGTTGCAGGCAAACATACTCTTTATTAGAGACACGATCAAAAACAACAAAACGATAACGTGACAGTTCACGGTCTAACACAACAGACTAGAAACAAGATCCCACAAACTCTGTGGGGAAACAGGCTGCTAAAGTATGGTTCTCAATCAGAGACAACAAGCAACAGCTGAATCACGTTGCCTCTGATTGAGAACCACACTGGCCAACATAGAACAACAATCCTAGAAATGAAACCTAGAACAAAACACATAGACTTTACACACCCTGGCTCAACATATTAGAGTCCCCAGAGCCAGGGCGTGACAGTACCCCCCCCTAAAGGCGCGGACTCCGACCGCGCCCACCAAATACCACAGGGGAGGGACCGGGTGGGCACTCCGCTTAGGCGGCGGATCCGGCTCCGGGCCTGATCCCCGCTCCAACCCCCCAAAGTACCCCTGGTCCGGTCTGGCCCCGCTGGCCGGAGCTGGACTGCACACTGGTGGAGCGGATTGCTCTAGCTCCGGCGTGAAGCATCTGACCGGTGCCGGACCAGCCACCGGTGGAACAGGCACGGGCCGTGCCGGACTGACGACGCACACCACTGGCTTGGTGTGGGGAGCAGGAGCGGGCCGAGCCGGGCTGACGAAACGCACCACTGACTTGGTGCGGGGAGCAGGAGCGGGCCGGACCGGGCTGACGAAGCGCACCACTGACTTGGTGCGGGGAGCAGGAACGGGCCGTGCCGGGCTGACGAAGCGCACCACTGACTTGGTGCGGGGAGCAGGAATGGGCCGGACCGGGCTGACGACGCGCACCACTGACTTGGTGCGGGGAGCAGGAACGGGCCGGACAGGGCTGACGAAACGCACCACTGACTTGGTGCGGGGAGCAGGGATGGGCCGGACTGGGCTGGCGACGCGCACCACAGACTTGGTGCGGGGAGCAGGAACGGGCCGGGCCGAGCTGGCGACGCGCACCGTAGACTTGGTGCGAGTGGCAGGAACAGGCCGGACCGTACTGGGAACACACACCACTGGCCCTACGTGGGGATCAGGAACAGGCCGGACCGGACTGGCAACACACGCCAGTACCTCTCGCCGTGCCTCTACATCCTCCTTCCCCCTGGTGACCAGTGACTCCCGTAACCTGGCGGCCTCCTGCTGCCCCGTCGTCCACGGCGTTAGCCCCCCCCTAAAAAATGTATGGGCTTCACTCCTACCCGTGGACCAGGTCTCCATGCTTCTCGCCAGCCTTTCGCCCTTCTGCCTCCACGTCAAGCCCCTCTCTTCCTCACATGGCTTGACCCAGTCGAGGAGGCGAAGGAGATCCGCTAGAGATCTCTCAGGCGCTGGCTCCTGGACTTGCTGCTTGGTCCAGTCTTGGTGGGATCTTCTGTCACGATCGTCTAACAGAGATGAGGACCAAGGCGCAGCGTTGCAGGCAAACATACTCTTTATTAGAGACACGATCAAAAACAACAAAACGATAACGTGACAGTTCACGGTCTAACACAACAGACTAGAAACAAGATCCCACAAACTCTGTGGGGAAACAGGCTGCTAAAGTATGGTTCTCAATCAGAGACAACAAGCAACAGCTGAATCACGTTGCCTCTGATTGAGAACCACACTGGCCAACATAGAACAACAATCCTAGAAATGAAACCTAGAACAAAACACATAGACTTTACACACCCTGGCTCAACATATTAGAGTCCCCAGAGCCAGGGCGTGACAGTTGTAGTGACATTAAAGGGCAAATCTGTAATTTGATCGTAGACAAATAAGACATTATAGACCCAAATAAGAAAAGCATGTTGCTAAATTAGTCTGCAACATGATTTTAACCTTAGGGTGCATCACTGGACATCTCTACAGTATTATCGCATAACAGAATTAAACTAAATGAATTAAGTTATAAATAAACTTAAATGAATTTCATTAAGGCACAGTAGAGCTTTTGCGTTTGAGTAGAGAGCATGTAAGGTAACTTACAGCACATATAGGCCTAACACCTCCAAAACGATGTATGCTCCTGAAAAATACCAAAGGATGTTCTCCTTTAGCGTATTCAGAGAATGGAAAAGGAACATTCTCTGCCGTTGTCTTTATGAACAGCTAGCTATAACTGTGTGCATGTGCACATGCGCTGGTATGTGTCTACAGCTGCTCTCTGGTTACCGAGACGAGCTTGGATCAGCTCTCAATGTATTTAGTCATGGTTGCTATCAATATCGGCCACCTACACACATCCTCCTGGATCCATCATACAGCCTCCTGGGTCTCATTTGTGTCTACCTGAGCCACAGATGCAAATCGCAGTTTCCTTCTGGCAATTTGTTGTTCACCAGACACACACACACATACGCTAAAGAGGAAATGGGGCCTAATAACTTGGATACATACATACATCTAGAATACCTCTATATATTACTGTTTACACGTGTGAAGAGATGATGGACCATTTCTGTTTTGTTTACGTAGTTGAAGATGAGATTGTGCTGTGTGTTTTGGGTACGTTTAGGCATAATTCATTAACATTTCTCCGCCTACAGAGGGTAGTGTTAGGCAGAGGTGTGTGGGAATAGTTTACATTTACATTTTAGTCATTTAGCAGACGCTCTTATCCAGAGCAACTTACAGGAGCAATTAGGGTTAAGTGCCTTGCTCAAGGGCACATCGACAGATTTTTCACCTAGTCGGCTCTGGGATTAGAACCAGCGACCTTTCGGTTACTGGCACAACGCTCTTAACCACTAAGCTACCTGCCGCCTAGTTTGATACCATAGTACTCATACATTTGCTAATATGCTCTGTGTGTGTATACAATGTGTTTTAAGTGCACAAATGCCTTTGAGTAGGTGTGAGCACGTGTATTATGCACAGTATATATTTGTTTATTTTGTTTGTGTACATCAGCCTGACTTCTAATGTGTGTTTTTGTGCTCAAGTGTTTTCATTCTACCCTGAGAGAGGCCCTTATTGACTCCCTCTCTGTCCTGTCTTGTGTCCTTCAACAGAGAAAGACTACATCGGCCTTTGTGAGCGGCAGCCAATCGGACGCACGCTCTTTCGGCAGTTCTGTGAAACCCGGGCTGAGCTGAGGCGCTGTGTCAAATTCCTGGACGCTGTGGTAAGAAAGACAGACAGGCAGGATTAAAACGCTTGTGTTTGTTTTTCCTCAAGATGCACATCTTCAGAAGGACTCTGAACGAGCTTGTCTAGATGTATCTCAAGTTCTCTAGTATTAGGGGGAAGGGTAGGAGGGGAGGGTAGGAGGGGAGGGTAGGAGGGAAGGGGAGGGTAGGAGGGGAGGGGAGGGTAGGAGGGGAGGGTAGGAGGGAAGGGGAGGGTAGGAGGGAAGGGGAGGGGAGGGGAGGGGAGGAAAGTGAGGGGAGTGAGGAGGAGGAGGGTAGGAGGGGAGGGAAGGAGAGGAGGGGAGGGTAGGAGGGGAGGGTAGGAGGGGAGGGAAGGGAAGGAGAGGAGAGGGTGGGAGGGGAGGAGAGGAGAGGAGAGGAGAGGAGAGGAGGGGAGGAGAGGAGGGGAGGGTAGGAGGGAAGGGAAGGAGAGGAGGGGAGGGTAGGAGGGGAGGGAAGGAGAGGAGGGACGGGAGAGGAGGGGAGGGTAGGAGGGGAGGGAAGGAGAGGAGGGGAGGGTAGGAGGGAAGGGAAGGAGAGTAGGGGAGGGTAGGAGGGGAGGGTAGGAGGGGAGGGAGTGGGTAGGAGGGGAGGGAAGGAGGGAAGAGTAGTAGCTAATGAAATACAGGAACTCTTGACTTCTGGGAGCAAAGTCAGTATACCACCCTCCGCTGCCCCCTCCCCCTCCTCTTCTTTCTCAGTGAATGTGCCCCACACTACGCTCTTGGTGGTGTTCTTACCACCCAGTCCCAGTGGGGGTAGAGGGGGGGGGGGGGGGGGGGGGGGGGGGGGGCAGTGTTGGATAGTGACAGGGGAGAGGGGTAGCCTACCAGGGTGTTGTTCAGAGCCCCCTCCTGATGACTCAATGATAAACCTGAACTTCCTCTCTCCACCCTGGCTGACCCCTGTGGCATTGTGTGGCATTCTTCTAACATACTGTTCTGGAGCACAGATATACATATACACACACCACACACTCACTCCTGCATGCATGCAGTCACACACACTCAGTCATGACCTATCCACTTTATCTCCTTCCCTCTAACACATTATAACTGTTGATCTGAGGAGTGTTGTTGTAGCTAGATCCTCTCTGGTTTATTAACAAATGCAAAAGCCTACAAGTAGAAAAAGGCTTAATAGGAGGATGCTACTAGCACAGTGAATATAGTCAATGGAAGTAGAATGATGAATAGATGGCTGAATTTGTGAAATAAGAGATAGCAGACAGTCTTCTCCAACTTCAAAGTAGTGAGCACGTCCTTTTACTGCACTGTCTCCTTCCTCCCTCTCACGGAGTCTGGGCTACATGAGAAAGAGAGCAAATGAGATTTGAACCGTCTGAACAGTCACTAACCATTATGGACAAGTAGTGCTGAGAGTCCAGCGGACGCATTTTAGAGTGAGGCTCTTAGCTTACTGTAAGTCATGTTGCTGGAGGGAGGGTGGAGGACGGCATGACACAAGGGCCTGATTCTGTTGTACTTGGCAGGATTCAGGAATCAACAATCCAGAGAGAACTATGAATCAAAATGGTGGTTAGGAGTGGGACCCAGGCGAGTGGCTCTGTAGAACTGTGCTGTAGTGTACTAGGGAGGTACTTACAGTAGGCCTGGGTCGTGTTCAGTAGGCATGAAGCAATAAAAAAATGAAATAAACAATGTTCTTATTGGTAATAACTCTTCCGATTCAAAACGTAGTCTTCTATTTCATGCCGGTTTCTCCTGTTTCATGCCTACTGCAGTGATTTGGTAACGTGGTTCTAGTACCATTAGAGGTTGTACAGAAAGTACTGTGATTGTAGGCTACTAGCTATAGTGGAAAAGGTAGAACTGACCTGTTGGAGCAGATGTCACTGTACAGGTGTGTGCGTGTGCCCGTGCGTCTGTTTGAATAATGTGTTACTGTTTCTTTCCCCCACAGGCAGAGTATGAGGTCAGTCCAGATGAGAAGAGGAGGGAGTGTGCTCAGGAGCTCCTAGACAGGTACTTCAGCCCAAAGGTACAGTAGAATAACCTATTCTCAGGCAATGAGTGATTTGTGGTCAAATATTCAATAATTGAGGTTGGTGTGGTTTCCCAGACCCAGATTAAACCTATTCCTGGACTAAAAATCACTTTCAATTGAGATATTCCATCGAGCACGCTTTTTAATCCAGGAGTGGGCTTAATCTGGGCCTATGATGTCATATATACGTAATTCACGTTGTATTGTGTTCCATCGCCCTGTAGTCAGAGGATCACGTTCCTGAGTTGGGGGAGGACATGGTGGGTCAGTTTACAGAGAGGCTGGAGCAGGAGCCCTGTAAAGAACTCTTCAACGAGTGCACCAAGTGAGTCTGTCTGTCAATACAGAAACACAGTCACAGAGAATATGCTAACATACAGTACTTACTCAGCATATGGGATGTATTCAAGATCAGAAAAGGTAGATATTTTAAGATAATTTCACCATTATTCAACAAAGGTAGTCAGTTAAGAATAAAGGGTAATTTTCAGTGATGAGATATGCCCAGAGACAGAATCTCTGAATTTTCTTATAAACTGTCTACTGCATTGTGCAACATCCTCTGAACAGTTGTCCACACGTGTTGTATGGGCGTGTCAATAGCATGTTGAGGGTATGTGGTTGCTGATGAATACTGTTCTAATTAATCACCCCTAGCCACTTCAATCACCCGCCATTCCGTTCAGCAACGTTTCTATTTTTGAACGTTCTCACAACTGTTCCAACAACACTACGACCCTGAACAGACCCTTTCTGTCATTCCTGCCTCTGGTTGTGGTTAATGAATGTTTAGATGTGAGCTGATGTTTGGGGTATAGTAGTCAGAGAGATGGACCCATGGCGTAGCAGCATGGGACATGTGTAGGGCATGTAGGTTTTCCTGACCATGTGACCTGACCAGGAAAAACTCTGGGCCTTAGGGAAGGACCAGAGTTTTTCCTGTTTAGGTGATGTAGTGGGCTGTATGTGTTCTGACTGTCTTCTGTCTCTCTGTCCTCTGTTCTAGACTGATCCATGACTACCTGAGTGTGGCTCCCTTCGCAGACTACATCGACAGCATGTACTATAACCGATTCCTGCAGTGGAAGTGGCTGGAGAGGTACACACACACGTACACACACACAGACAGACACACAGACAGACACACAGACAGACAGATGTATAAGCCTGAGAACCCCTACACAGCGCAATGATTAAATGTTACAGTTACTTCACACCGCCTCTATATACAGTGCCTTCTGAAAGGATTCAGACCCCTTGACTATTTCCATATTTTGTTACATTACAGCCTTATTCTAAAATTGTCTAAATATTTTTTTTCCCTCATCAATCTACACACAATACCCCATAATGACAAAGCAAAAACAGGTTTGTAGAAATGTTTACTAACGTATAAAAAATTTAAAACTGAAATATCACATTTACATAAGTATTCAGACCCTTTACTCAGTACTTTGTTGAAGCACCTTTGGCAGCGATTACAGTATCAAGTCTTCTTGGGTATGATGCTACAAGCTTGGCACACCTGTATTTGGGGAGTTTCTCCCATTCTCTGCAGATCCTCTCAAGCTCTGTCAGGTTGGATGGGGAGCGTTGCTGCACAGCTATTTTCAGGTCTCTCCAGAGATGTTCGATCGGGTTCAAGTCTGGGCTCTGGCTGGGCCACTCAAGGACATTCAGAGACTTGTCCCGAAGCCACTCCTGCGTTGTCTTCGCTGTGTGCTTAGGGTCGTTGTCCTGTTGGAAGGTGAACCTTCGCCCCAGTCTGAGGTCCTGAGCGCTCTGGAGCAGGTTTTCATCAAGGATCTCCCTGTACTTTGCTCCGTTCATCTTTGCCTCAATCCTGACTAGTCTCCCAGTCCCTGCTGCTGAAAAACATCACCACAGCATGCTGTTTCCACCACCATGCTTCACCGTAGAGATGGTGCCAGGTTTCCTCCAGACGTGATGCTTGGCATTCAGGCCAAATAGTTCAATCTTGGTTTCATCAGACCAGATAATCTTGTTTCTCATGGTCTGAGAGTCTTTAGGTGCCTTTTGGCAAACTCCAAGTGGGCGGTCATGTGCCTTTTACTGAGGAGTGGCTTCCGTCTGGCCACTCTACCATAAAGGCCTGATTGGTGGAGTGCTGCAGAGATGGTTGTCCTTCTGGAAGGTTCTCCCATCTCCACAGAGGAACTCTAGAGCTCTGTCAGAGTGACCATTGGGTTCTTGGTCACCTCCCTGACCAAGTTCCTTCTCCCCCGATTGCTCAGTTTGGCCGGGCGGCCAGCTCTAGCAAGAGTCTTGGTGGTTCCAAACTTCTTCCATTTAAGGATGATGGAGGCCACTGTGTTCTTGGGGACTTTCAATGCTGCAGACATTCAATGGAAACAGGATGCACCTGAGCTCAATTTCGAGTCTCATAGCAAAGGGTCTGAATGCTTATGTAAATAATGTTTATTTTGTTTATTTTTTATTTTAAATTTGCAAAACTTTCGAAAAATCTGTTTTTGCTTTGTCATTATGGGGTATTGTGTATAGATTCCGCTCAATACGGAAGTGGTCAGATGACGCAGATGCTAAATTGCAGGACTGTTTTGCTAGCACAGACTGGAATATGTTCCGGGATTCTTCCGATGGCATTGAGGACTACACCACATCAGTCACTGGCTTCATCAATAAGTGCATCGATGATGTCGTCCCCACAGTAACTGTACGTACCCCAACCAGAAGCCATGGATTACAGGCAACATCCGCACTGAGCTAAAGGGTAGAGCTGCCGCTTTGAAGGAGCGGGATGCTTATAAGAAATCTCGCTATGCCCCGAAGAACCATCAAACAGGCAAAGCGTCAATACAGGACTAAGATTGAATCCTACTACACCAGCTCCGACGCTCGTCGGATGTGGCAGGGTTTGCAAACTGTTACGAACTACAAAGGGAAAAACAGCCGCGAGCTGCCCAGTGACACGAGCATACCAGACGAGCTATATGACTTCTATGCGCGCTTCGAGGCAAGCAACACTGAAGCATGTATGAGAGCACCAGCTGTTCCAGACGACTGTGTGATCACGCTCTCCGTAGCCGATGTGAGTAAGACCTTTAAACAGGTCAACATTCACAAGGCCGCAGGGCCAGACGGATTACCAGGACGTGTACTCCGAGCATGCGCTGACCAACTGGCAAGTGTCTTCACTGACATTTCAAATCAAATCAAATGTTATTTGCCACATGCGCCGAATACAACAGGTGTAGACCTTACAGTGAAATGCTTACTTACAAGCCCTTAACCAACAATGCAGTTTTTAAGAAGAAAAAAAAAGTGTTAAGTTAAAAATAGATAAGTAAAAAATAGCAAATAATTAAAGAGCAGCAGTAAAATAAAATAACAGTAGGGAGGTTATATACAGGGGGTACCGGTACAGAGTCAATGTGCGGGGGCACCGGTTAGTCGAGGTAATTGAGATAATATGTACATGTGGGTAGAGTTAAAGTGACTATGCATAAATAATAAACAGAGTAGCAGCAGTGTAAAAGAGGGGGTTGGGGTGGGGTGGGGGGACAATGTAAATAGTCCGGGTAGCCAAGATTAGCTGTTCAGGAGTCTTATGGCTTGGGGGTAGAAGCTGTTAAGAAGCCTTTTGGACCTAGACTTGGCGCTCCGGTACCGCTTGCCGTGCGGTAGCACAGAGAACAGTCTATGACTAGGGTGGCTGGAGTCTTTGACCGTTTTTAGGGCCTTCCTCTGACACCGCCTGGTATAGAGGTCCTGGATGGCAGGAAGCTTGGCCCCAGTGATGTACTGGGCTGTACGCACTACCCTCTGTAGTGCCTTGTGGTCGGAGGCCGAGCAGTTGCCATACCAGGTGGAGCATGGCAACCAGGATGCTCTCGATGGTGCAGCTGTATAACTTTTTGAGGATCCGGGGACCCATGCCAAATCTTTTCAGTCTCCTGAGGGGGAATAGGCTTTGTCGTGCCCTATTCACGACTGTCTTGGTGTGTTTGGACAATGATAGTTTCTTGCTGATGTGGACACCAAGGAACTTGAAGCTCTCAACCTGCTCCACTACAGCCGCGTCGATGAGAATGGGGGCGTGCTCACTCCTCTTCTTTTTCCTATAGTCCACAATCATCTCCTTTGTCTTGATCACGTTGAGGGAGAGGTTGTTATCCTGGCACCACACTGCCAGGTCTCTGACCTCCTCCCTATAGGCTCTCTCATCATTGTCGGTGATCAGGCCTACCACTGTTGTTTCGTCGGCAAACGTAATGATGGTGTTGGGAGTTGTGCTTGGCCATGCAGTCATGGGTGAACAGGGAGTACAGGAGGGGACTGAGCACGCACCCCTGATGGGCCCCCGGGTTGAGGATCAGCGTGGCAGATGTGTTGCTACCTACTTTTACCACCTGGGGGCGGCCCGTCAGGAAGTCCAGGATCCAGTTGCAGAGGGAAGTGTTTAGTCCCAGGGTCCTTAGCTTATTGATGAGCTTTAAGGGCACTATGGTGTTGAACGCTGAGCTATAGTCAATGAATAGCATTCTCACGTAGGTGTTTCTTTTGTCCAGGTGGGAAAGGGCAGTGTGGAGTGCAATAGAGATTGCATCATCTGTGAATCTGTTGGCGCTATGAAAATTGGAGAGGGTCTAGGGTTTCTGGGATAATGGTGTTGATGCGAGCCATGACCAGCTTTTCAAAGCACTTCATGACTACATACGTGAGTGCTTCGGGTCGGTAGTCATTTAGGACTGTTCTTTCTGCTACCGCACGGCAAGCGGTACCGGAGCTTCAAGTCTAGGTCCAAAAGGCTTCTTAACAGCTTCTACCCCCAAGCCATAAGACTCCTGAACAGCTAATCAAATGGCCACCCAGACTATTTGCATTGTTTACGCTGCTGCTATTCTCTGTTTATTATCTATGCATAGTCACTTTACCTCTACCTACATGTACATACATGTACATTTTCTGGATGTTTTTGTTGTTATTCTGTCTCTCACTGTTCAAATAAACCTACCATTAAAATTATAGACTGATAATTTCTTTGTCAGTGGGCAAACGTACAAAATCAGCAGGGGATCAAATACTTTTTTTCCCTCACTGTATGTCTCAATCGTCTCAAGGCGTAAAAACCCTCCCCTTCATCTACACTGATTGACATCAATAAGGGATCATAGCTTTCACCTGGATTCACCTGGTCAGTCTATGTCATGGAAAGAGAAGGTGTTCTTAATGTTTTGTAGATTCAGCATATGTATTAGTGGCTCCTCTCAAGGTTGAGTGAGAAAGTTACAGAAGGTCAAAGATCATACCCCCAAGACATGCTAATCTTTCACCAATAACCGGGGAGGTTAGCATGTCTTGGGGGTATGATCTTTGATCATGGTATCCGTAATCATGGTAGCAGCCACATTAATGTAGAAGTGTTTAAAAACTTATTATATTCTTATTTACAATAAAAGTGATTCCAAAATGACACAATACATTATCAACCATTCATTTCTATGGGGCACAAAATAATCGGAAACACAACCAAAACTAACTGCAAATCCATTCAGCAAGTTTGTAGAGTCACAACCTTTATGTAGTCATTGCGTGCTAGGAATATGGGAACAAATACTAAACTTTTGACTACTTTATTTATAAGAATCTTTATGTGTGTCAATAATTTTCAACCCTACCTTTTTGAGATAAAATAATATTACTTATTAAACAAAATCTCTTTCTTTGAGCAATTGTATTAGTATAAAATAATATAATTTCCCCATTGTTTTTAGCATACGATATAGCTCAGTATATTAATTATTTATTTTATACAGTCATTATTGCTCATTACAGTTTTGGTTTTGTTCACATCCATACTCGTGCTTGTCTATTTAAATACCTTTTATCCCAGCAGGACTATCATATATTTTTTTTTTTACCTTTATTTAACCAGGTAAGCCAGTTGAGAACAAGTTCTCATTTACAACTGCGACCTGGCCAAGATAAAGCAAAGCAGTGCGATAAAAACAACAACACAGAGTTACATATGGGGTAAAACAAAACATAAAGTCAAAAATACTACAGAAAATATATATATACAGTGTGTGCAAATGTAGCAAGTTATGGAGGTAAGGCAATAAATAGGCTATAGTGCAAAATAATTACAATTAGTATTAACACTGGAATGATAGATGTGCAAGAGATTATGTGCAAATAGAGATACTGGGGTGCAAATTAGCTAAATAAATAACAATATGGGGATGAGGTAGTTGGGTGGGCTAATTTCAGATGGGCTGTGTACAGGTGCAGTGATCGGTAAGGTGCTCTGACAACTGATGCTTAAAGTTAGTGAGGGAGATAAGAGTCTCCAGCTTCAGAGATTTTTGCAATTCGTTCCAGTCATTGGCAGCAGAGAACTGGAAGGAATGGCGGCCAAAGGAGGTGTTGGCTTTGGGGATGACCAGTGAGATATACCTGCTGGAGCGCATACTACGGGTGGGTGTTGCTATGGTGACCAATGAGCTAAGATAATGCGGGGATTTGCCTAGCAGTGATTTATAGATGGCCTGGAGGCAGTGGGTTTGGCGACGAATATGTAGTGAGGACCAGCCAACAAGAGCGTACAGGTCACAGTGGTGGGTAGTATATGGGGCTTTGGTAACAAAACGGATGGCACTGTGATAGACTACATCCAATTTGCTGAGTAGAGTGTTGGAGGCTATTTTGTAAATGACATCGCCGAAGTCAAGGATCGGTAAGATAGTCAGTTTTACGAGGGCATGTTTGGTAGCATGAGTGAAGGAGGCTTTGTTGCGAAATAGGAAGCCGATTCTAGATTTAACTTTGGATTGGAGATTCTTAATGTGAGTCTGGAAGGAGAGTTTACAGTCTAACCAGACACCTAGGTATTTGTAATTGTCCACATACTCTAGGTCAGACCTGCCGAGAGTAGTGATTCTAGTCGGGTGGGCGGGTACCAGCAGCGTTCGATTGAAGAGCATGCATTTAGTTTTACTTGTGTTTAAGAGCAGTTGGAGGCTACTGAAGGAGTGTTGTATGGCATTGAAGCTCTTTTGGAGGTTTGTTAACACAGTGTCCAATGAAGGGCCAGATGTATACAAAATGGTGTCGTCTGCGTAGAGGTGGATGGAATGCAAACGAGTCCTTTGGGGAACAGATTTATTTATGGAAATACATGAGCCCTGGTCTCTATATTTATATACATTAGCAAACAGAACATGTCTCCACTCTCCAGCCTAGCAGAGGCAAGGCTTGTGCAATGATCTTCCCATAAGAGTCATAGATGTGACTAAAGAGATAAGTTTACCCATACTCTTTCATCACGGTGTGTATCCCAAATGGCACCCTATTCCCTTTATAGTGCACAACTTTTGACTAGGGCCCATTAGGGCTCTAGTCAAACGTAGTGCACTATATAGGGAATAGTGTGTCATTTTCATTTGGGATGCAACCTTTGACTCACAGTAAATATTCCAACACTTTGTTAAAGGTCTTAAGAAAGTAGTCCTATCTTGCATTTGGTACTGGGCCGAACTCAAGTCTAGTTATAATATAAGCCAGAACATATTAAAAAAGAGGGTTTTATTCCCCCTATTGCTTTCCTTTGATAGAATAGTGTTTTTAAAGCAAACATTTTGTAAAAGTGTAACGGTCAAGCCTTTTTACTTACAAAGTCAGATGTGTATGTTCAGATGCATTGCTGCTGTACAGTCAGTGTATGTCGATATAGTTGAGCACATTTTCCCACGATGGACAATAAAGTTGTTGTTTTGTATTGTGTTGACCCCTTTCTCTGTGTTCTCACAGGCAGCCAGTCACTAAGAACACATTCCGACAGTACAGGGTATTAGGGAAGGGAGGCTTCGGTGAGGTAAGGACTGTCTCTGTCTCTTTGTCTCCTTAACTAAAGCTTCCTTTCATTTAGAATTATATTTTACAAGTAGATAATAATAAATAAATATAGTGTCTCTTATAATCTTCATCATCAGACCCTCAAAGGGATGAACTTATAAATGATCAATGAGGTACAACAAAGACCTCAGTGTGGATGTGAATTGATGGGCCCATAAAATTATCAACTGTGTTGTTGTGTGTTTTCGGGATACAAGTGCCATTAACTGGTGTCCTCTTGAGCTCTCCTCATGTGAAATGGCCTGAGCCATGGTCATGCCTCCATTACAGTGTATTTACTGTGTCAAAGTAGACAACACTGTGGTGTTCAACTATGAAAAACCTACAATATTCAGTTAACTAGCCTTTTCTATATCTATCCCCCCCCCTCTCTCTCTTTGTCTCTCTTTCATCCACTCTTCTCGTCAGGTGTGTGCGTGCCAGGTGCGTGCCACAGGGAAGATGTACGCGTGTAAGAAGTTAGAGAAGAAGAGGATCAAGAAGAGGAAAGGAGAGTCCATGGCCTTAAACGAGAAGCAGATTCTAGAGAAAGTCAACAGTAGGTTTGTAGTAAGTGTACGAGCTACCTACTTACCTCCTACCATGTGTCACATTATGTATAATACACCTTCCTAATATTGCGTTGCACCCCCTTTTGCCCTCAGAACAGCCTCAATTCATCAGAGCATGGACTCCACAAGGTGTTGAAAGCATTCCACAGGAATGCTGGCCCATGTTGACTCCAATGCTTCCCACAGTTATGTCAAGTTGGCTGGATGTCCTTTGGGTGGTGGACCATTCTTGATACACACGGGGAACTGTTGAATGTGAAAAACGCAGCAGCGTTGCAGTTCTTGACACACTCAAACTGGTGCGCCTGGCACCTGCTACCATACCCCGTTCAAAGGCACTTAAAATCTTGTCTTGCCCATTCATCCTCTGAATGGCACACACAATCCATGTCTCAAGGCTTAAAAATCCATCTTTAACGTGTCTCCTCCCCTTCATCTATGTATGCATTCACTAACTGTAAGTCGCTCTGGATAAGAGCGTCTGCTAAGTGACTAAAATGTAATGTAAATGTAAATCTACACTGATTGAAGTGGATTTAACAAGTGACATCAATAAGGGATCATAGCTTTCCCCTGGATTCACCTGGTCAGTCTATGGCTTGGAAAGAGCAGGTGTTCCTAATGTTTTGTAATGTATCTATGAACTACATTAATATTTGATGCACCACTTACTAATTTTTCCTTACAAAGATGTCAAGTTGACTGAACTCAATGATTTAAACTGTCGACTGCAACTCAGCTTTTGACCGCAACATTAAAACTTTTGACCAGTTGAGTCTAGATGGCTCTTCCAGACTACTGTCTGATAACTCAGATCAGATCATAATAATAATAATAATAACACTATTAATTAAAAGATAACATCAGGGTTTGATTCAGTTGGGTTTGTTTTCATTTCAAGTGACCCCACACAATCCAATTTCGACATATTTTATTTGGACATCCATCACTGGTCCAATGTGTTGGCCAAAAGTGGACAGATGTTAATTCTGTTTCCCACAAATTCTACTCTCCTTCTCCTACCTCATAGCTTTGTTAATTGTGTATATTTGAAGTAGTAGAAGTATGATTTTCAAACCGGTCTCTTAGCCAAGTGTTCTATTCTTTAGGGCACACCATAGCAGAATGTAAGGAAACATTTTTGCGACAAAAGACAAAAAAAAGCGCTTCTTATTGAACAAGTTCAGGTAATCCCTCCCCATTTTAGTCAGTTTTGTTTTGTTTTCATCTGTTTGGTGCCTAATGAATATGACCGTGTGTCGTGGAGGTGAGTCTAGCATACGCGTATGAGACGAAGGACGCTCTGTGTCTGGTGCTGACCCTGATGAACGGAGGAGACCTCAAGTTCCACATCTACCACATGGGAGAGGCTGGCTTCGAGGAGAGGAGGGCTGTGTTCTACTCTGCAGAGCTGGCCTGTGGCCTGGAGGACCTGCAAAGAGAGAGGATCGTCTACAGGTGAGGCTACACACACAGTCACACACACATAGGCACACACACGCACACAGAAATGCATACACACACACACAAGGCTGTTCTGATAGAATGGTTCAGTGGGTACTCGACTTCCTGCGTACAAGGCTACAGGAAGTTTATGGAGCATATTTAGTGTTTACACAACTATCAGCTTACAAGGGTGGATGGAGATAGAGAGGTGAGGGGAGAACGATAGATAGCAAGACGTTGGGAGAGAGAAAGTGGTCCTCTGTAGCTCAACTGGTAGAGCACGGCGCTTGAAACGCCAAGGTAGTGGGTTCGAGCCCCGGGACCACCCATACACAAAAATGTATGCATGCATGACTGTAAGTCGCTTTGGATAAAAGCGTCTGCTAAATGGCATATTATTATTATTATAAAGTGAGACAAAGGAAGACAAAGAGCAGAGAGCTTTCAAAGTTTTGTAAATCTGCTCATGGAAGAGATAGAAGTTAGTTATTGGTTTTATAACTCCTTGTATTGCTGTCTTTTTCCAGGGACCTGAAGCCTGAAAACATACTATTGGATGACCATGGTGAGTAGAGATCGAGATGGAAATAATATGAATGCCCACTATACAAGTAAATAAATGTTTTATGGACCAACCCTGGTCCTGGAACAATGCTATAGTTCCAGCCAAGCACTACTTTAAAACACTTGATTCAACTAATCAAGGTCTTGATGATTAATTGAATAATAGATCAGGTGTGTTAGTGATGGGCTGGAACAAAAGCCTGCACACATTATAGCTCTCCATAACCAGAGTTGGTACAGTAACCACTGCATGTGTGAACCGAGGCTGTCGTTCTGTAATTCACCAATAGAGGGAGCAGATTGTCTATGAAAATACCTCTCTCAGGACAGGAGGGCTCCTGCTTTCTCAAGGTTGTCAGTAGAGCCTGCGGCCACTGAATAGTGCTCTTTGGCAAAACAACATAAGGTTTCTAAAGTACATGGCTTTCATAAGATCTGCTTTGACCAAAGGATGTCCTGATATACATAGTCTGTGGTCCAGACTCCAGACTGGAGATAGCATGTCATATGACATATGGTTGAATGTCATAGGATTGAGGTGTGTTATATGTAATACTGTATGTCTTGTTTTGTTGCATCGTGATTGGCCGTCTCCTTCTATATCCATTGATATGCATCATCTGTGGGGATAGCATGTCACAATCCTCCAATTTGTAAGTCGCTCTGGATAAGAGCGTCTGCTAAATGACGTAAATGTAAATATGACATAAGGTTAAGTGTCACAGCATTGAGGTGTGTTATAGGTAATACTGAATGTGTCTGTTATACTGTATGTATGTGTTCTGTCATGTCATATTCGGATATCTCGATTGAGATGCATCTTTTGTGGGGATAGCATGTGATATGGCATAAGGTTAACTGTTCCAGCAATTGGTGTGTACTGTAACACAGTGCGTGTTGTGCTGTGTTCCTTTAGGTCATATCCGGATATCAGACCTGGGCTTGGCGGTCCACGTTCCCGAGGGAGAGACCATCAAGGGTCGGGTGGGCACCGTAGGGTACATGGGTAAGCACTATTCAACACCATTCAACAAAAGATATTCAACACCTTTTTTCAAATACTGTTACTGTACTGTGTAATGTACAGTACCAATATACTTTCAGTATTTGTAATCATGTCTCTGTGTGTCTATGTGTGTGTACGCGTGCATGCGTGCCTGTGTGCCTGTCATCCTAATGTGTGTGTGTGTGTGTGTCAGCTCCAGAGGTGGTGAAGAATGAGCGCTACACCTTCAGCCCCGACTGGTGGGCGCTGGGCTGTCTGCTGTATGAGATGATCGAGGGCCAGTCTCCCTTCCAGCAGCGCAAGAAGAAGATCAAACGCGAGGACGTAGAGAGGCTGGTCAGAGACGTGGAGGAGGAGTACTCAGACAAGTTCTCAGAGGACGCCAAGTCCCTCTGCAAAATGGTACCTGACTACAGTACCTCCTCCTACAGAGCCCGGTGTAGCTCAGTTGGTAGAGCATGGCGCTTGCAACGCCAGGGTTGTGGGTTCGTTTCCCATGGGGGGCCAGTATGAAAAATGTATGCACTCACTAACTGTAAGTCGCTCTGGATAAGAGCGTCTGCTAAATGACTAAAATGTCAAATATTGTCAACAACATGGGATCATGCTTTGTTGTCTGTTGGCTTTGCATATCAAAATCAGTCTTTATGGTAATAGTTTTATTTGTGAAGGCAGCATCATGTGTTCAAGAGATTTGCATTCATGATGTACAGTCGTGGTCAAAAGTTTTGAGAATGACACAAGTATTGGTCTTCACAAAGTTCGCTGCTTCAGTGTTATGAGATATTTTTGTCAGATGTTACTATGGTATACTGAAGTATAATTACAAGCATTCCATAAGTGTCAAAGGCTTTTATTGACAATTACATTAAGTTTCTGCAAAGAGTCAATATTTGCAATGTTGACCCTTCTTTTTCAAGACCTCTGCAATCCGCCCTGGCATGCTGTCAATTAACTTCTGGGCCACATCCTGACTGATGGCAGCCCATTCTTGCATAATCAATGCTTGGAGTTTGTCAGAATTTGTGGGTTTTTATTTGTCCACCTACCTCTTGAGGATCAACCACAAGTTCTCAATGTGAATAAGGTCTGGGGAGTTTCCTGGCCATGGACCCAAAATGTCGATGTTTTGTTCCCCGAGCCACTTAGTTATCACTTTTGCATTATGGCAAGGTGCTCCATCATGCTGGAAAAGGCATTGGTCGTCACCAAACTGTTCTTGGATGGTTGTGAGAAGTTGCTCTCTGAGGATGTGTTGGCACCATTCTTTATTCATGGCTGTGTTCTTAGACAAAATGGTGAGTGAGCCCACTCGCTTGGCTGAGAAGCAACCCCACACATGAATTGGCTCAGGATGCTTTACTGTTGGCATGACACAGGACTGTTGGCATGACAAACACCTTGTCCGGTCTTCTCCGGACAAGGTGTTTTCCGAATGCCCCAAACAATCGGAAAGGGGATTCATCAGAGATGAAATGACTTTACCCCAGTCCTCAGCAGTACAATCCCTGTACCTTTTGCAGAATATCAGTCTGTCCCTGATGTTTTTCCTGGAGAGAAGTGGCTTCTTTGCTGCCCATCTTGACACCAGGCCATCCCCCAAAAGTCTTCGCCTCACTGTGCGTGCAGATGCACTCACACCTGCCTGCTGCCATTCCTGAGCAAGCTCTGCACTGGTGGTGCCCCGATCCCACAGCTGAATCATCTTTAGGAGACGGTCCTGGCGCTTACTGGACTGTCTTGGGCGCCCTGAAGCCTTCTTCACAACAATTGAACCTCTCTCCTTGAAGTTCTTGATGATCCGATAAATGGTTGATTTTAGGTGCAATCTTACAAGCAGCAATATCCTTGCCTGTGAAGCCCTTTTTGTGCAAAGCAATGATGACGGCACGTGTTTCCTTGCAGGTAACCATAGTTAACAGAGGAAGAACAATGATTTCAAGCACCACCCTCCTTTTAAAGCTTACAGTCTGTTATTCTAACTCAATCAGCATGACAGAGTGATCTCCAGCCTTGTCCTTGTCAACACTCTCACCTGTGTTAACGAGAGAATCACTGACATGATGGTAGCTGGTCCTTTTGCGGCAGGGCTGAAATGCAGTGGAAATGTTTTTATGGGATTAAGTTCATTTTCATGGCAAAGAGGGACTTTGCAATTAATTGCAATTCATCTGATCACTCTTCATGACATTCTGGAGTATATGCAAATTGCCATCATCAAAACTGAGTCAGCAGACTTTGTGAAAATTTGTATTTGTGTCATTCTCAAAACCTTTGACCACGACTGTATGTGCATGAAGGATGCTTTTATTCTGGTTTTCTATGGCTTGTAATATCATAAGCAAAGAAGGTTGTCTGTCATGATTTTAAAACTAACTTCAAACACATACAGCAAGCAGATCAGTGCCTAATTCAACAGTATAACAGCATAACATATTTACTTTGTTGCTTAGTAACACTGCTGTCACTCTCTCATGTCTCTGCCTAGCTGCTGGCCAAAGAGCCCAGTAAGAGGCTGGGCTGCCAGGGGGAGGGGGCTACGGAGGTGAAGGCCCACCCCATCTTCCGATCCATCAACTTCAAGAGGCTGAAAGCTGGCAGGCTGAAGGCCCCCTTCACCCCTGATGTAAGGAAACACACTGCATGATCCAATCTGTTTACTGTACAGACGTCATAATCCCTAATGCATCATTTGGATAGATTCCAAGAGTGACACATCCAAGAATATCACTGTGTAGTGACGCTGTCATGACATGAAACATCTAGCGTTTTGGTCTTTCTATGGTAGTCTTCTCGTATAGGATGAATCAGCTGCCTCCACTTGATGATGTTATAGTGTATGTGCATGTGTTTATATGCCATATAACCTTATTCATCCCCAGAGCACAAGCACATGATTACATAAATGTACAGTGCATGCAACACAGGATGTACAGTAGACATACAGTACCAGTCAAACGTTTGGACACACCTACTCATTCAAGGGTTTTTCTTTATTTTTACTATTTTCTACATTGTAGAATAATAGTGAAAACATCAAAACTATGAAATAACATATGGAATCATGTAGTAACCAAAAAAGTGTTAAACAAATCAAAATATATTTTATATTTGAGATTCTTCAAATAGTCACGCTTTGCCTTGATGACAGCTTTGCACACTCTTGGCTCAACCAGCTTCACCTGGAATGCTTTTCCAACAGTCTTGAAGGAGTTCCCATATATGCTGAGCACTTGTTGGCTGCTTTTCCTTCACTCTGCCATCCGACTCATCCCAAACCATCTCAATTGGGTTGAGGTCGGGGGATTGTGGAGGCCAGGTCATCTGATGCAGCACTCCATCACTCTCCTTCTTGGTAAAATAGCCCATACACATCCTGGAGGTGTGTTGGGACATTGTTCTGTTGAAAAACGAATGATTGTCCAAATAAGCCCAAACCAGATGGGATGGCGTATCGCTGCAGAATGCTGTGGTAGCCATGCTGGTTAAGTGTGCCTTGAATTCTAAATAAATCACAGACAGTGTCACCAGCTAAGCACCCCAACCATAACACCTCCTCCATGCTTTACGGTGGGAACTACACATGCGGAGATCATCCGTTCACCCACACCGCGTCTCACAAAGACACGGCGGTTGGAACCAAAAATCTCCAATTTGGACTCCAGGCCAAAGGACACATTTCCACCGGTCTAATGTCCATTGCTCGTGTTTCTTGGCCCAAGCAGGTTTCTTCTTATTATTGGTTTCTTTGCAGAAATTCGACCATGAAGGCCTGATTCACACAGTCCCCTCTGAACAGTTGATATTGAGATGTGTCTGTGACTTGAACTCTGTGAAGCATTTATTTGGGCTGCAATTTCTGAGGCTGGTAACTCTAATGAACTAATCCTCTGCAGCAGAGGTAACTCTGGGTCTTCCATTCCTGTGGCGGTCCTCATGAGAGCCAGTTTCATCGCTTGATGGTTTTTGCGACTGCACTTGAAGAAACTTTCAAAGTTCTTGAAATGTTCCGTATTGACTGACCTTCATGTCTTAAAGTAATGATGGACTGTCGTTTCTCTTTGATAATTTGAGCTGTTCTTGGTCTTTTACCAAATAGGGCTATCTTCTGTATACCTCCCCTTCACTATTATTCTGCAATGTCGAAAATAGTAAAAAAATAAAGAAAAACCCTTGAATGAGTAGGTTTGTCCAAACTTTGGACTGGTAGTGTACATTGTTGTTTGCTTCCCCAGCCCCAGGCCATTTACTGTAAGGACGTGCTGGACATCGAGCAGTTCTCCACGGTCAAGGGGGTGGAGTTGGAGCCCAAAGATGACTCATTCTACTGTAAAGTGTCCACAGGCAGCGTGTCCATCCCCTGGCAGATGGAGGTCAGAGGTCACACAATATCACGCGCACCAAAAGGAAGCAACCTGTACTCAATATTTTCATCAATGAACCTTTATCACATTACATAACGTCCTGAACAAGTAAATTAATTGAAACTTGTCTTATGCAATATGAAGACACTCGGGCTCAGTATGTAGACGCTAGATATTAGCCCCCTCAGGTGTACAACCAACCAATATTTAGGAAAGGCCCAATATAGAGGCACTAGGTCGAGCCACAAAGACCCATATTTACTATGGAGGTCAGAAAATATGCCTAATGGGGTCGTAGTCCAGAGCATACTGCAGGCTACTGTCTGTGGCAGTTCAGACAGACAGACGGACACAGGGCCAATTGAGTTAGCAGTGGGTTATAAAAGCAACTTGTGATTTGTATCAAAACAGCTGCTTTGGCGCCAAGAAGACACAGGGCTCTGGTTAAAAGTAGTGCACCGTGGTCCTCTGTAGCTCAGCTGGTAGAGCACGGCGCTTGTAACGCCAGGGTAGTGGGTTCGATCCCCGGGACCACCCATACACAAAAAAAATTTATGCACGCATGACTGTAAGTCGCTTTGGATAAAAGCGTCTGCTAAATGGCATATTATTTATTATTATTATCAAATTAAGTCTTCTGAATGACTGATGTGGTTAGATTTGACATCAGCCCGTTTTAAAACACCACATTTACTTTGAGTAATTTTCGGAGAAAAAAATGTGTCCTATTTTTAGTGCTTTCTCTTCCCCGTCCTATCAAGATGGCTTTTACTTTCATCATACTGATGTTCTGATCAATATCCTTGCAAAAAACACTCATGTGCGTCCCAAAAAGCACCCTATTCCCTATGTAGTCCACTACTTTTGACCAGGTAATAGGGTGCCATTTGGTACGCCTTCTTAAAGTCCCCTTTTACCCTGACATGTCCCTTTATCAAAGAAGCTGTGAAACGATGGATTTGGGGTTTGAGGTTGTGAACGGATAGTTTCTTCTGGTTCCAGATGATCGAGTCCGAGTGCTTTCAGGAGCTCAACGTGTTTCATACGGACGGGACAGTTCCCCCGGACCTGGACTGGAGAGGGCAGCCCTCGCCAACTCCTAAACAGGGGCTGCTACAGAGGCTTTTTGGGAGACAGGTGAGATCCTCAACCTTACTAAACCTAAAGCCTCAGTGTTGTGTGTGTCATTGACTCTACATTATATTTTCTGTTTGATTTGTTAGGTCTCTGTATATTTTGGCCTCTAGGTGTATGGATTCTAATTGACTACTGGGATTTTTTGATAAACCAGAATGCACCTATTGTAGCATGATGTACTACATCACCCATAATGCTCTGTGTAAGATCTCACAATGAGCAGTATGGGTACTGTAGTACATCATATCAAATAAAGCCTTTTTACATCAGCAGATGTCACAAAGTGCTTATACAGAAACCCAACCTAAAACCCCAAACAGCAAGCAATGCAGAAATAGAAGCACGATGGCTAGGAAAAACTCCCTAGAAAGGCAGGACCTAGGAAGAAACCTAGAGAGGAACCAGGCTCTGAGGTCGTGGCCAGTCCTCTTCTGGCTGTGCTGGGTGGAGATTATACATGGCCATTAAGGCCAGATCGTTCTTCAAGATGTTCAAACATTCATAGATGAACAGCAGGGTCAAATCATAATCACAGTGGTTGTAGAGGGTGCAACAGGTCAGCACCTCAGGAGTAAATGTCAGTTGGGGGGAGAGGGGGGGGAAGAGAAGAGAGAGAGCATACTTAAGTTCACACAGGACACCAGATAAGACAGGAGAATTTCACCAGATATAACAGACTGACCCTAGCCCCCCGGCACATAGACTATTGCAGCATAGAAACTGGAGGCTGAGACAGGGGGGTTCGGGGGACACTGTGGCCCTGTCCGACGATACCCCTGGACAGGGCCAACCAGGCAGGATATAACCCCACCCACTTTGCCAAAGCACAGCCCCAACATCACTAGAGGGATATCAACAGATCACCAACTTACTACCCTGAGACAAGGCTGAATATAGCCCACGAAGATCTCCTCCACTGCACGAGCCCGAGGGGGCACGTCAGTGACTCAACCCACTTGAGTATAGCGAAAAAAGCCTGGCACAAGGTGACGCACCCCTCCTAGGGACGGCATGGAAGAGCACTAGTAAGCCAGTGACTCAGCCCCCGTAATAGGGTCAGAGGCAGTGAATCCCAGTGGAGAGAGGGGAGCCGGCCAGGCAGAGACAGCAAGGGCGGTTCGTCACTCCAAAGCCTTGCTGTTCACCTTCGCAACCCTGGGCCAGATAACACTCAATCATAGGACCTACTGAAGAGATGAGCCTTCAGTAAAGACTTAATGGTCGCCAGTGTAGAGAGGCTAGCACTGGAGTAATATGATCACATTTTTGGGTTCTAGTCTTAAGATTCTAGCAGCCTTATTTAGCACTAAGTGAAGTTTATTTAGTGCTGTAGCCGAAGAGAGTAGAGCATTGCAGTAGTCTCATCTAGAAGTGACAGAAGCATGGAATAGCTTTTCTGCATAATTTTTGGACAAAACGTTTCTGTTTTTTGCAAATGTTACGAATATGGAAAAAAGCTGCCATTGAAATATTCTTGATATGTTCGTCAAAAGAGAGATCAGGGTCCAGAGTAACGTCGAGGTCCTTCACAGTTTTATTTGAGACGACTGTACAACCATCAAGATTAATTGTCAGATCATGCTCCTGAAGCTTACATAATGGTGTTCCGTATCCCTATCAATACTTATAGTCATACACTTCTCTTTGGGCCTCTTGATAATGACCTGCTCTCTGTCGCTCTCTGTCAGGACTGCTGTGGGAACTGCAGCGACAGTGACGAGGAGCCCACCAGGCTGTGACTGAGCACCCTCCTCCCAGCCTCACCAAGGATCTCATTTGTTTACAAATTTTGCACATTTGTATTTTAAAATAGTTCTATATAAATATTGGAATGTATATTTTCAATATATAGCCATAAAGTCCATGTTATTTAAATGTAATCATGATTCAGAACCAGTCCACATTTTCATGCGAGGCAACAACTGCTAAGTGACCATACTGCCCCCCCCCCCCCATCTGTTGATGTTGATGTCATTCTCAACCTCTTTCCTTTTTCTTTCTGCTTTTCTTTGTCTTCTAAAAAGTGTCGACTGGGCTCAGATTACTAACCATCTTTATTTTAAATATATATAAAATATATATATTATTTGTATTCACTTCATGCAATTCTAGACAATCAAATTAGGATATTTGTGTGAAGTGTAGGCTTAAAAGGAAATTGAAGACTGAGGTGAACTTAGAATGAGGTGATATGTACATTTTAGGGTTCTATCTAGAGACACTTGATGTAAGCCAAATAGATATGACTAAACAATGCATATATAAGTGCACAAGTACAAACAAGTGTATCAAATATGTGACAATCACCTCTAAAGTCCTAAGTGTGTTTTCCTAAGAATCTGGGTTTAGGTAGAAAGCATGTTAGTTCCCAACCACATTATGAGCTAGAGAAGGGAATTTTCTGAAAACGCCCTGCATTATAGTACAGTAATTCAATTGCCGAAAGGGACCAATTCGTAAGACGAGGATAGCCTAGAATGGCCTTGGAGTTTCCTCTACCACGGCATCCTCTAGATGGCTACACGTTTGTCACAGAGCTCCTGAGTTTAATTTAGCACTGCACTTATTTTTACATTTACATTTTAGTCATTTAGCAGACGCTCTTATCCAGAGCGACTTTCAGTTAGTGAGTACATACATTTTCCCTTATGACCAAACTGGTTTGTTTTTATCCTCCAAATATTTGAATAATTAAGTCCTTCCCATTCAAGGTGCCTTTGATGGTTTAAGGTATTCATGTATTTAACATATTTTATATATACCTGTTTCTGTGACAAAAATCAAACAAAGCTATCTGTCGAGTAGGTTCAGACCATGCTGCCTCTCTCTCTCTCTCTCTCTCCTGTCTCCTCTGCCGCTGTTGTACCTCATGTGTTCCTTTGCCATGCTGATGTGTGTCTGCATTATGTAACTCAGTGGGATTCTCCTTGTGGATGTGGGACTAATAGGACTGAGGGACTGAGCTCCCTGACAGACTATGGGACTATGGTATCCCCCGCTGAACCCTCCTTAACAGAGACTCTATTAGACTGAGGAAGAGGGGTCAAAGGGGAAGGGATAGTTCACGGAGAGGTCAAACCATCTCCATGGAAACCTCAGCACTCCCAACGGAAGTGAAAGAGACTTCCAATACTCCTCTTACTGTCCCCATCTCTCATTGAATTGTGTTTTATTGTGTGTGATTCTCAGATTAACTTGCCTACATTCCAGTCAGTACCATACTGTACCGTGTAAAGTTATGCTACTTTTGTTTATTTAGCAATATAATTTTTTTAAACTGGTGTAAAGTTACAACCACAACAACAACAGTTTCACCGTGATACTAGAGCAGGACTTCTAGTATGATTATTATGATTTCTCTGTGCTCCTGAGCCAGGCTTACACAATGTGAGAGGAGGGAGAGCCTCTCTCTGTCTGTCTGCATCCATGTCACACTTTCTTCTTTCAATGCACTGATGTTTTGTGTGTGTCCATATTTTACCATAACCACTAGACCATCATTTCACAAACTTTGTCCTGGGAACCCGCGACCTGCACGTTTTGGTTTTTGCCCTAGCATTACACAGCTGATTCAAATAATCAAAGCTTGATGATTAGTTGATTATTTGAATCAGCTGTGTAGTGTAAGGGCAAAAACCAAAACGTGAACACCTTGGGGTCCCCAGGACCGAGTTTGGGAAACCCTGTACTAGACTCTCTGTCCTGCTCATGATGAGTGAACGTGCTACTATACAAGGGAGTTCTTGGAATGTTCTCGGAACGTCAGGAGGTTGTCTAAATCTCTGTTAGTATTCCAAGCCCAACAGGAGAGCACAAAGCAACAGGTTTTGACAGTGGGTATGAGAACAGTTAAATTTACCAAACATGTACTTAATTCTTACCTCAGTAAAGAATGGAATGGACCCTCTGGGCAATAACTGGTTGAATCAATGTTGTTTCCACTTCATTTCAACAACAAAAAATAAATGTGATGACGTTGAATCAACGTGGAAAGCTGATTGGATTTGCAGAAAGTCAGCAACGTCAGGGAATTTTGTATTTTTTTCACCCAACCTTTAACCTAAATCCAATGACATGGTGACATTTTTTGTTGATTTCACATTGAATTCATATTATTTGACAACTCAATCAAATGTAAATCAAAGCAAGGCAACAGTAAACATGTCCCCCACGAATGATGCTGTACCCCCTTGGGCCAATTAGTAACAACAATTCAAGCTCAAACGGGACAGGAGATATGTTTGTTCAAGGTTTGGAATTTCAGTTAAATACTATAGGGCTGTTCCCTATGTGAAAAGGCACTATCTGTGAAGTGAAAATGGCAGTTAGTGTCTTCTAGCGCCAGACAGTGAAGTCATGGCCTTTTCACACACCTTACTTTGACTTTAAAGGGTTCAGGGACTTTTGCTTACGCTTTTAATATTTATCTGTTGAATTTCACTGCTTTTATGTTATTTTGTGTTACACTTTTAACTCTTGTTTTTATAGCCTTCTGTGATTCTACAAGCGTTCATGGTGAGCTACAGCAGCTGTAAAAAGCTATTGGGTGCATCATGTGCTGAACTGTAATACTAGGCTATGCTAATTCTAAGCAGTCAAACTGGTCATGTCTTTAGTAAGGTGCTTCCTTCCTAACATTATCCTGCCATCTTTATCTACCTGTACAAGACTTCAACATTTTATTTCAGTTATTTATTGTGCTCAATGTTTTTACCTTAGTGTTCACTCCAAACTGCTTTCAGTTCAAATATTCTGTAAATGTTTTTGGTGTTTCCATACTCTTGACATTTTGCCAACTATGTTCAGACTGCACTAAGCCCTCACACCTTGGAGGCACACTTTGTGTTACACTTCACTTGTAGAACATGTTATGTATCTGAAATGATATTGTGTCCAATGTCCATATATTATTTAAATACCATATTAAACCAAGAACTTAGTCTTCTTGGTCTGATCCATTGTATCTAAATCCACGTCACAACGTTTGTTACGTTGCATGTGTGATACCTCCCTGAGCTCAGGAAGGTTGGAGACTTTATTCATGTTACCATCCTTTGTGACTCCATTGCCTTCCCACCCTGTCTTCTGCAAGGCCAAATGTCATACTGTGTGTCACTAGAGACCATTACGTATGTCTCTGTTGTCCTACTGTGTAAACATGCCAAATGGAAGCAACCGAGAGGATAGTGATGATGATGATGGGGTGTAAATGTGCCATGTACATGCTATGTATCACTCTGATGTGATGTTTGTTTGAGCTCTTTTGTTCTCTCTCTCTCTGTCCCCTCTATCAACTCGTACTGTCTGCCTCTAACCCATCTCAGTAGGTGCCTGTGAAAATGTACATTAGTCATGGCCAGTAAAACTGGACCTCCATGTAACACAGTATTTTACTTCAATAAAACTTTTTTGGTTTAGCTTTGGCATGTCTTGTGTAATTCAATCTTGCAAACGAAGATTTATGACAGTTTGAAATGTCATGCAGATAGGAGGAGCCAGGAGAATGTATGCTGAACAAAAATATAAACGCAACAATTTCAACGAATTTACCGAGTTACAGTTCATACATTCATTAGGACCTAATCTATGGATTTCACATGACTGGGCAGGGGCACAGCCATGGGTGGGCCTGGGAGGGCATAGGCCCACCCATTTGGGAGCCAAACCCACACACCGGGGAGCCAGGTCCAACCAATCAGAATACATTTTTCCCCACAAAAGGGCTTTATTACAGACAGAAATTCCTGCAGTCAGCATGCCAATTGCGCGCTCCCTCAAAACTTGACATCTGTGGCATTGTGTTGTATGACAAAACTGCACATTTTAGAGTGGCCTTTTATTGTCCCCAGCGCAAGGTGCATCTGTGTAATGATCATGCTGTTCAATCAGCTTCTTGATATGTCACACCTGTCAGGTGGATTTATTATCTTGGCAAAGGAGAAATGCTCACTAACAGGGATGTAAACACATTTGAAGGTAATAAGCTTTTTGTGTGTATGGACAATTTCTGGGATGTTTTATTTCAGCACATGGGACCAACACTTTACATGTTGCATTTATATTTCTGTTCAGTATAGATGACAGTTGCCTGTGTAACAGGTGGGATTCGAAACCGGTAGCTCTCGCTCGAGAACCAAAATTAAGTATTAACCATTAGACCAAAGGAAAATCCCTCTGGTCCGAGGGCAACTATTGGGCTTATGAGTCTCAGGCAGGGCTACTGATCACGAGAGCGTGATTTCAAATTATCTCCGCTGCACCTGCATTCCTTTGGGCATCAGATTTTCAAGAAAATATTCAATTGAAGAGAATTTGGAGGGATAATTAATTTGGAGGAAAGCTGCATTTGATTGGTGCAGCAGGTGCATCACCTGGTGTTGGTACCCACCATCCATTTGAACTCTTTCTCCCTGTAGGATTATGATGTGTATTGTGTAGCTCCCACATCACTGCATGCTATTCTACCAGAGAGCCTCTCTGTCCCAGCACTTATTTTCACCATACAGAGCTGATTGAGCCTTCATCTGTCTGGCTCTCCTCCTCTCCAAACCATCATCAGTGCCCCTCCCTCCCTCCCTCACACCTCTCTCTCTTTCCTCTCTCTCACTCCTCACCAGCCTCTCCACCGTTGCCAGGCAACCCTCTTTAAGAGGGATTTAAAATAAATAAATAATGCTGCAAATAGACTTCTGTTTTTTAATATTGAAAGGAGGCCCAGTGCAGACTGTCTTTAAGGCAT